AGTGATTTACTCTGCGAGAGCTTAAATGTGATTCATTGAAATTCATCCGAAGCTTAATTTGCAACAAATCCTACGATTTTTATCTATTGAATTTTTTAGTATTATTAAAACAAGTGGCGTGAATTCGCCCAACAGCCGGTACGGCGGTAAAAAGAGTCCTATTGCACCAAATTCACTTTTAATTACACAAAGCTTTCTAAAACTTTGTGGACAAAGTCCAGAACTAAATCTAGAAATGAGCTCTTAATCTATACTGCTGATAGACAAGTACTGCCTACATATAACAAGTTCCTTCTGTGCAGTGTTAAAGATCGACAATTACAAAGAATATGAAAAGTTGTCTTTTCATCCTCGAGAGGATAAGAATGCATTCCAGATTTTGTATATCTATTGCATATATCTGGTTGATAAAAAATAAGGAGGTTAATCTATTTTTGAACCAGAAAATCAGAGAGACATAATATATTATCAACAAACAACTAAATGACCTGTTCTCAGTCCTCAGAACGGATGATTTATTGATACTTTTTCTTCATCAAAGAAGAAGTATTCAAAATTGTAAAGAAATATACCAAAAAAATTTATAATCAAAAATCCCGGCTATAAAATTTATGTCACTTTTAAATTTTTTTACAAGACAAACAGGGACGTTATTGAAAGAAATACTAATTTAACACTATGATAGGTATATATATATTAAATTAATATATATGATCTTGTTAGGATCTCATTATTGAATAAGAGACTTCGAACCTATTCGAATAGGATTAGTTGAAAATAATATCATGTAGTTCAAAAAATTAATTAATTAATACAATCAATGCAAAGATATAATTAGTTATCAAAGATTGATTTTAATCATTTAAAACTTAATAAAAATTAGTTGGTTTTGTTGGCCTTTGACACTTTAAAAGATTTCGAGTACCTCTTCTATGTGTATGGTTTCATTAACATATAATCGATATTTAACAGGTGTACAAAGGTGGGTTCTTAGAAAAAAACTATATTTCTTCTTTAGTTGAAACAAAACGAAACAGATCTGTTGTTTGGACAGATTGAACATTTTCCAACAAATAAAGTTTTCAATCCAAATGTTTGTACTCGAGCACACTCAACCTATTCGAGCATTGCAACGCTCTAGTACTTAGAAGTACTGAATGTACTAAAAATTTCTAACACCTTTGTACCGATAATATTTTTAAATTCAAGTCGTTAATATATTTAATGGTTCCCTCGTAAAACTCGAGCATATTCACATACGAAATGTGTTCCTTGTGAGAAAATGACTTGTTGGATTGCACCCATGTTTGTAATAAACAAAGTTCACACGTGCTGTTACATCCTTTCCATATTTAAATGTAATCATTTCAAAATATAATTATGTATATACTTGTACATATTTATATATATCTGTTGACATATATGAAAACATATGTAGAAACGTACGAAAACAGTAATCGAAGTTGTTCCAAATTATATGTCTTTTCGAAAGTCATGCATTCATGTGTGCCCAGGTCTTCTATTCCGAATAAGTAAAATAATTTTTGATTGTCAAGTATTCGGAAAATAATGACAAATATTAAAATTTAATTTATATTAGAAATATTATAAATTGCATACATTATTTAAAACTAAAAATTAGAAATGTTTAAGTCTTAGAAGTTTTCCCATATAAAAATTAAACAAATTATTTCATTAAAGTGGTAGAGTATTATAAAGGCATTCCTCCCAAAAAATTTTTAGGAACAAAACATTAATACACTTTAAAAGAAAAGTCTCACAGACATTTATTATTTAAAAAGTTTTGTTTAAATTTAAAATAAATTTTGATGTTAAAAGTACTGCATATTCTCAAAACTTATGATCTGCTCTTTCTACAGAATATATTTCTATTAACTCTTTCTTTCCAATGCACCAAATCTGAAGAATATATGAATATTTTAAAGTGGATCTAATATTGTATAAATTTATTTCATAGTCATATGGAAAACTTTAAACAATTTCTAATTATCTAATAATATAGTTATATAGTCATATAGTTAATAGTCATTGCTTAGCAAAAGAAAATATATACATATATAAAATTATTATTGAAATATATAATATTTTTTAATGCTAAGTATATAGCCAAAATTCAACTACGCTTACAATTATTATTTTATATTATTCAGTTTTAATTCTCATTAGGTTGTGTTTGATATGTCTATTAAATGTCTTGCAATGGCACCAGCAGTTGTGGCATTATTGCCAGCGATACTAATCGCGTTTTCATTATTGTATAATACAAACAATATTAAATTAATAATTCGTCGCCTAATGTACTATTTTTTTTTCTTTTATCTGTGAATATGTTTCGAACTTATTTTTTTTTTAATCACAGCAAATGGATTTATCTGACACAAAAGGATTTTAATTTTTTTTTATCTGTAATTGGAAAAACCAATTTTACTTGATAAAAGTCACCTTCTTTAACACACTGAGTGATATCTTCAGCATTAGCCAGACTCTCTCCTTCATAAATGCTTCTAGCTGGTTATAACGACAATTCTTGTACGGATTTTGTTTAAATGCGTTTGTATAAATGCACAAATAATTGGTTTATAATTCAGCTTTAATCAATATTGAATGTCTTATTTAATTTTTAACAAATCAGTCGTAACCGATATTACAATTTTTTAGCGAATACATTTCAATCAGTTTTTTAAAAACATACAAACTAGATAATAAAAATTCTATATTTGACAGATCATAGTCGGAGTGTAGTCCAAATGTCATGTGGAATGGTTTTTAATTGGTCTGCATCTTTGAACTCAATGCTGACGTAGTTAAATTTTTTTTTCTCTTAATTCACTATCACGCAAATATCAAAGATAACTACAAAGTATATGAACTACCCAGGTTTCGCATATCAGGACCTCATTTGTAATTTGTAAAAATTTAATACAAGATATGTATTAAATATATAAATTTAATATAAATTTAATACAAGATATGTATTAAATATATAAATTTAATATAAATTTAATACAAGATATTCACCGATCATTATCTGCAGATTATTTTACAAATAATCTAATAAGTTCTTTAGTATGGTTTATAAAGGTATCTGTTTTATACTTTGAGTGATCCTGTTAAGTAGGTAACCATGCAAGAAGATTGATTCTTCTTTCCACTAACTTTTGTAGCTATAGGTGAGCCGTAAAAATTTTCTCTGATTCTTCAAAGCCTTAAACATTTTACGATAGTTCTTTTTACAATAGAGTATTTCATTTAAAAAAAAGGTGTCACATTGTATCTGTGAAAGTATTTTTTTCAGTAGAGATAATTAAGATTAAATATTTCTTACTTTAACAAGCATAACACTTTATTTTATTCCTACATTTATCTGTAAAATTACATTGTCTGCAAAAATAAATAATAGTGTATTCTATCAGCTACTTTATTCATTGAATTCAGTGCAAGCATAAATTTTGATAATACATGAAAATCCTATAAAAATGTTTAACTTTTAGTTGAACCTCAAATATGTGTGGTCATTGAAGATTAAAACTGGGTCAACACTATTCACTATGAAGTAAATGCATTGAGATATGTGCAACTGCAATTGCAAAATACAAAACGCAATGTCACAGATTCAATTTTTGAAATTATGAAAAGCATACATAATACATATTCATGTACCTCAGCTTATCATAACAGCAGGCACATTTATGTACACATTTTGGTATTATTTTAGTAGTCCTTTGCTTTTCTTCAGGTTTACATTTCTGACTATTGCAAATATCAATATTTGTGCAATACTTGTTTTCGTATGTGCGTGCTATACCGACACTTGACATATCCACCTACATCTGCATCCATTTCGTCCCAAGTTGCTCATTCAATCCTTTACATGGAATGATAGTTATTATTTTTTTTTCGGAAATGCAAGTGAGCAATGAACACAAACAGTTATGTCGTATTGATGCAATTATTTTTTGGTTTCATGGTAATTTATTTCGAATTTTTTATGGAATTTTTTTAAAAATAAATATAAAAATAATTCCTTATGTTAATTCCATTACGGTAAAATCTATTATGATGACAAACACCTTCCTTAAGACAAATTTTTCTTATACTCCACAAAGACGCATTGTAGGGTCATAGATGCACCTAGTTTTCACAAGCAATTCACCAACACAACATAGTTCCGCTACTACGAACTTTGCTAATAACACGACAAGCGGACAAGCGAAAAAAATAAAAGAATCATCTATTTTTCTTTATCCAAACACTATAAAATATCTTGACATAACATTAGACAAAAAATTATGTTCAAAGGAACCGAACCGAAATATGTACTGGTTTGTGGGCCGACAATCATCCCTATCGCAATACAACATAATGAACTGTTTATCCATAAACAACTTTTCAAGTCCTAGTCCAAACTATTATATGTAATATAATTTAACAATTTTAAAATAAAGTACCTGGAAATGTGGTTAAAAATCCTTAGTATTGAAGAAGTATTGACTTACTAATATATATGGTATATGTCCAAATGATATATACCACGGTTTACAATCCACGCTAATGGCGTAATTTTAGCATTTATGAAACTAAGAAAGTGGGTTAGAAAATTAAAGAGTACTATAATATATAATTTTTCTATTAGAATTTAGAATTCCTTTGCCATAATATAACATTTATTTCATATTTTAATCATTTATAACCTAAACGCATATATTAATTGCTAGCTATATCGCTTTCAATCTTAAACTTTTTGATTTAATGGAATAAAACGTAACAGAAGCCATTTTGGATGTCCATATAAAATAACTACCAAGACTGATTTAACCTAAAATTTTATTAATTCTTATTGTTCAATTTTACACAAATACACCACTATTTTTTGATGTTATATTCAATCATTATAAGTCCACACACATCTTGATATACTTATGTATTTTCTAAGGAATAAAAATTTCTATTGTATTTCAATTTCTTGTTGTCTTTGACAGATGCTGCTGTGGTCAATCACGACAAACTCACCAAACGATACCTGGCATCGAAAGTGGCTCTCCAGGAGATGCCTGGCTGCCACAGAAACATACACGTGCACAACCCACCGACGCTTATGGTACTATTGAGTTTCAAGGAGGTGCTCATCCTACAAAAGCGCAGGTAAACTTCAACTATATATGCAATTTTTTTTTTATTTCAGGAAAAAATTAAAGAAAAACGACGGGAAACGGAAATGATAATAAAAATTAGATATTTCACTTTTTAAATAGTATTAGTTTATTTGAAACTGAAAATGCTTAAATCAAATCCTTTGTACGAACACAAGGAGGGATACTTATTCGTTATGCTATATTAAAGAAAAGGTGCATATCTACGCTTTTTTATTGTTGTAAAAAAATAAAATAAAATTTTATGCTCAACTGAACTGAACTGACGTGAACAAAAGAAAACTTTTCCAATCAATTTTATTATTAATTTTCAAAAGTTTTATATCTTTTATACATATACATGTATACAGGGTGTTTTCTTACACACAAATGGCTTAATTGCAAGAGATGATTCCTTGTACGGGAAGAGAGATGGTTCGATTTTCAATACAAATTAAGTCATTTATTCTTCAAATCGAAAAAAGTAGGAATTGGCGCGTTTCAGGTCCTGATTAAAAAAAAACGGCTCTTGGTAGACGAAAAACCCTTTTAATATAATATTCGTTGGATAATATTAATATACAAGAAATAATATAAAATAATTTTACAAAAACTTGATACAAAGTAAATTCATTTTCCAACAAATGACGAACTCAAAATTTTCGAACCAATTTTAGTTAAAATTGTTGTATCACAGTAGATTCACATAAAAGGCTTTAGTGAATCTCGTCTTCTTATAAGACAATCTACGACTGGTGTCTACAATCAGAGAATTGAATAGGTATAAAGCTTAATATGACTTCTATAAACTGTTTAAAAGCTAATATGCGTTTTTAACAGAGAGTTAGTTTATACCGGATAGACTGTTTCTTCAAACATCCTTCTATTAGATTTTTTTGTGTTTTTACCCAACGAATTATATGCTGTATTTATGCCATTGAGAAAACACTAGGGTTTTAAGAACGACTGGGTCTACGTCTCAGTGCCACTCGTCAACTACGACGAACAAGTGCCGTTTACCACCCCTAAAGCAGATCCCAACGGGTTACAACAACAACAACATGAAACTCCATGTGTAAAAAACGATAGTAATGTGTGCACTGTCCTCGTATCTTTGTAAAACTTGAATATATCATTATATACTACATTTTGCTTGAAAATATATAAAAAACTATATATAATAAATAAAAGTACTTTTTATATTGATTTTAAATTGATTTTTTTTAAATATTTTAAAATTTTTAGTATGTGCGCTTGTCTTTTGATACCCGTCCAGAACTCTTGGTGCAACTCTTTACAAAAGAATGGAATCTGGAACTGCCTAAATTACTTATAACTGTACAAGGTGGCAAAGCCAATTTTGAACTGCAACCAAAGCTGAAAAAGGTAAGCGTGTTTTAAATAAAAGTTGAAGTTAGAAAGAAATTTGGTATAAAAGAAATTTTTTTAAGGCATATTGACATATTACTGACATATTGATTACACAGTCTGACAATTTTTTTTCGTAGTCCTATTTTAAACACTCTGTCATTTAAGTATAATATGAGTTAACTAAAAAGACTTTAGAATGGTATCTCAAGAAAAAAGTGGAATAAACTGGTGAACTTTTTCGTGTGACAATTTATTTAGATTTTTTACATCAGTGAAGCGTGAAACATGTACTAAGTATAGGTACTACAACACCTGGTACTCCATAAACTTTTCATATTATCAAACACTGCAGTTTAATTGCAGGTGTCTTTCACTTAAAAACTTAGGTTGTAATTGTCATCCGAAATCGGGTAGTGTGCCTTCAAATATTAATAATGAGCAATAGCACGCAACGAAAAGTCATCATATGAGATACTTGAAACGCTTATTTCATGATAAATTAACCATAAAAAGGATTCGTTCTCGTTGGATGCCTCAAAATCTGGCAAAACCTGAAACCAAAATAGAAAGAAGACTGCTCAAGATTTAATGGCACTGCATTGAAACTCTTGTATAATATTGTGACAGGTTAAGAGTTACAAATCTATAAATATCAGCCTTAAACTAGAAAGCTGTTGACATGGAAGCATGAGTGTATCATAATAAACCATCCCCAACAAAAGTTGTTAGCAGTCCAAATATTTCAAAATGAATTGTTTGCTGGGTTTTCGGAAAAAATAGATATGTCTTTTCAGTCATTAGAGCAACGTATAACGTTCATTTTTAAATGATAGATCTTAGTTTTATTTTCCAAATATACTTGTGAGATGAGAAATTCAACCGCTATCACGGCAATATGAGCTTTCATATATTGATTTTTCGAGCATAGTTCGAATTTACTAATAAAGTTTTGATCTGGCACCTAATGAGTTCCTCTTTTTTATGCTCATCAACAATACATTTCATTGCCAATGCTTTTTCCTGGCAAAACTAGTCATTGAATCATTTCAGAGAATGTTTTCGTAGTATCTGGAATTAAATTAAAAAATGTTTTGATAAAAGTTTGTCCGAAAATAAAAAGTTAATTTTTATGAGCAAATCACTGTTTTTTTTATTATTAAGCCCCATTGAAAATAAAAACATTTCCCACTTATGTATGATCTGATATCATTATCGCAAAAATTACAATACTATATCATACTATATACACATCAGAAGAAAATTTTATCACTTATTGCGCACTCATTGTACTTTTGGTAGTGGCCTTTGATCTGTAAGAAGTTCTACTGGGAGAGTTACCATATGAATCTGGCTAAAACACACAATGAATATAATAAATCTGAAGTGAAAATGAGAATTCATACAGTATTCTATTCAGTTGGACTATAGTCAGAGTCTTTAACTACTGCAGCGATTAACTACAGTTTAATTATATGTTGGATATGAGTCAATACTACTCGCTCAAACCATCTTCATTATATCATTTTAACAATACGTTTACAATTGCTTAAAGTATTCGCTGTTATATTCTTGTGTTCGTAACTTTGGAAAAGGTTGCCAACTCAGATTAGCTGATCGGCAACTGACACCACATCATTTACCTATGCTACTGAGGTTAAATAATTAATTGATTAATGTCTAATAAAGCAAAAAATCAACTACCCCAAAACCATAGTAAAAAGTATGTTTCTTATAATAGTCATTTATACATCAATTCATAATCATTAATCAATTTTCTGTAATACCTCTTGTTTTCTACTAATTGCTCTCAAGTATTGTTGTAGTCACTGGCAGTCATGGCAAAGAATTTCTCAATTTTTCCAAAAAATTATTTAAGTCTTTAGCATGTGCTTCTGATTAATTATGCAGTGTTGGAAAGTGTTTAAGTGAAATTGTTTAATGCACTCATACGATTGTCTATTTAAACACTACTTTATGTTCATTGACACTGAATTAATAGTAGTATTCAATTTTTATTAAGTTTCAAATTAAATGATAATTATATTAAATGGAAGCGTTTTGACACTTCACTACTTTTATTAATTAAATGATAAGCAATTGTATGATGTGAAATTATCACATAATAAATTAACAGGTCATATTGAAAACTTTGAAATGAATTATAAAAATTTAAAAAGTGAATAATTAACCTATATGTCAACAGCTAACAATTTATACATAGCATACATATAAAAATCCCCAACAGTATAAAGTATACAGTATAGAGTTAAAAACAAATTATACATCTCTGCACATCTGCACACCTAAGAGTTTTGTATTTGTCAAGGACTACCTCTAATTTTTTATCAAAATCTTTTTTATTTTATTTTCGGAAATAAACGAAAATAAATCCTAGTACGCTGATGATAAAAAGTTAGTACGGATTTTTTAATATGAAAAAGGAACCCGGTGGGGCGGGTGTTGACACATTGGGTTATATGTACTTATAACTTTATAATTGAGAAAATTTTAGGAGTAGCTTATTATTCCTTTTTGTATCATAAATTAGAATTGAAAAAGAGTAGTAACACGATTGGACAAACAAATTTTTGATTTAAAAATAAGAACTTTATAATCTATCAATTATATAAAAATATAGGAACCGCACCATCAACTTGTATATGCGTTCATGTTTTTCATCTTTAAGCAAGATAGTCAATATCCCGTGAAACGTACTATATAGTGCAGTAGTACTATAATCCATTACTCTGGCTATTAATCTTGTAGACTACGTTGCCAACTCAATGTGATTTATATATGTATATAACAATAAATAATATAAATTATTTAACATAACTTAAAACAAGAAACATTTATTAGCTTAATTGGATTTGCTTTTCAAGTATCTGAAATGTTATCCTTACAGATCTTACGCAGTGCATCCAGTACGATAGCTGAATCTTGCGTAATTCATAATTTGGCGAACCAAATTTTTAGAGTGGTTTCTCAAAATCACGTTCTCGCAGTATTTTAAGTGCCTTTTTTTTTGTTTTTTTTTTAGGATTTAATTCTAGACAAATATGTGCATTGGTAACATGTCAAGGTACATTACGAATAATTTGTACATACACAATTTGATTTCTCTGGATTCGAACTACTCCGATTGTAATAGTTTATTAAATTATTGCCAAAATTTTATTGCTTCCAAATAAAGCATGTTCAATCGAAGATGAAAAATATTATTCCATAAATTTCATACTAATATGGCTTAAAATTTTTTGCAATTTTCTACCATATAAATATAAAATACGTATAAACTATTCGCAACTGTATAATATATAGTCAAATAAATTATTACTTTTACTGTAGCTAAGACTTACAGTGGCAAAATTGAAATTATGAGCCAAAATGAATTCATTCGAATAAGAATAAAATTTATGTAGTTTTAAAAATATTTATAAAGCAAAATCTGTAATGAGTAAAGGGTTTTTTAAATATAATGATAAATCAAAATATTACAATAAAAATTTATATAGACTTTATAAGGTTATATTAATATTTTAAGCATGTTTGACACATAGTAATTTATTAAATAATTAATAAATATTATTGTTGACCATTATTCTTAAAATATTAATTTCTCGCCGTATATTGTACTTAATAGTTGCATTAAATATTCCAAATAATGAAATATAAATTTACAAAAACATTCTATGAGTTTTATATCGTCATATTAACTAATCAAACTAAAGATTTAACTTAAAGTTTCGAACATTTTTTATGATACGTGATCCATATTTTACAAACCTTTAGCTTTAACCTTTAAAGATTAACTATTTTAAACAATTTCGACTAATGCACAGCAGTGTGTGTCCTCTTTTTATATAAAATCCATACAAAATTCTTACAATATCTAATGAAATCCTTACAAAAATGTGTTAATAAGGTGCTATATTTGCATATTTTTAATGAACCTAACGACACGAATCGATCTCAAAATGATTCCGGGGTAATTAGTATTTAAAATTTGATTAATTGACACATAAATAAATGTCTAGAACAAAATCATTTTGGGCACGAATCTGGGGTGTTTGTCAGATTAGCTATAATTAGATGACTATTTCTCAAAGCAGTGATAACTGATATTTAATAGAAATTTAAAAACATTATGTTTTTTTCTGGACGTTATCAAATGGGCCTATTAATATTGAATTAGAGAGAAAGAGCTTGTTTGAATGATAACGCACATCGAATAGTGATTTGAGTTCCTCAAAACTCTTGGATATGATTGGAGAAATATGTGTTTGCATGACAGTGTGAGGATTTTATAATATTTAAGGATGTTTCGATATAATCTAAAACATTTTCTACAAAGAAAACTCAAAAGTATTGACTACATCAGCTGTATTAGTTCGAAGAAAACATGTTGTATGATTCTAGAGAAAGTACTCTTACATATATATATATAACAGATATCTATTACTTTTAAAGCTAAAATAAATGAAAAAACAAATAATGATGGAACTAAAAAAACAGATCCAATAATGACTAGAAATAATATTAACAGCTTTTAACAAAAAAAATTATTTTAAATACATTAATTTAAATCAATGACTTCTTGAAACATTTTTATATGTTCATTTTGTAATCAGTGATCACAATCGTTTTAATAAAAAATATGAATTATATATTTAGATTTTTATTATATTGTTTATTTTTTTCACATCTTCCAGATTTATACAGATATTTATATATTTTTAGGAAATTCGTAAAGGTTTATTAAAAGCTGCCAAAACAACGGGTGCTTGGATTTTCACTGGCGGCACAAATACAGGTGAGTTAGTTTTTTATTTATTTATTATAATTATTTTTATTCTTATAAGTGTTATTGCAATTAATATTTTAATTATTATTATTAATATAGAGGCCAATTTGCATTGCAACCTATTTAGATTCTCATAAATTTTTTGTAATTAATATTATAACTGTTATTATTATGATAGAGGTTAGTTTACACCGAATAGATCTATTTTGTACTGTAGTCCTGATTTGTGATGATGTATGTTCAGATTTCTAATTAATATTAAAATTTTGGGTTTGTTGTTTTAAAGATTATATAGAAGTATAGCAACGCCAACTACGCATTGAAGTCTCTGCCAAAAGCAGAGCATTCATAATGCATGGTCTTTAATCTTTTGAAATTTATTTTATAAAATTTGAGATATAAGCCATCAGATATCTGCGGAAATGAGCCAGTGTATATTGAAACCTATCTGTATTAAGACAGTTTGATTTTTGACATCTTTGTGAGTACAAATTACCAACAAACAATATGGTCGTGTGCGAGTTAGAGTAAATTGATCGTAAATGGTTAATAATGTCGGTATGCCAGCGAATGTTGGTATTTTCCAGAATTTCGAGTAGAGTAAATTAGATAAAAATTAGGTAAATTAGGTGTTACTATTAAGAAAATTTTATAAGCTAAAAAAACCTTAGGAAATTTTAATTTACTTTACCTCAATTTACTTGAACTCGCACACGGTCTTAAAGTGCATTGTGACTCCGCGCCTGTTTCTTTTTCAAAATAGGCTGTTTGTTGGGTTTCGTCCGTGTTAAAGTGATTATTACTAAATCAGTTTTTAATCAAATAACAAAAATAAAAGATTCTGTAAGTTGGAATTGAAAACACTGTGCACTAAAAAAATTTTGAGCCATAAAAATCCGATATCATTTGTCAAAAATAGGTGTAGGTATAATGTTACACGAACCCTACCACTACTTTAGCTATGAAAATGAAAACTTTATTTCGGTTATTTTTTTAGGGTTCTATTTATCTTAAATAGCTTTCATTTAAGCCCATATGCATTCAAGTGCAACCAGAATTTTTCTCTCCAGCACATATTTTTCTCTAGTGTATATAATTCTTAAGTACACTTTTGAAAATGACGGAATTATCATTTTCATCAACCGTCAACTTACCCGATTGTGTACTTAAAAAATATATGTATTTTTTGAAAATACTTCATATGTACATACCTGGGTATGTTGGGTGCACGTTTATAAAAATTGGGTGTTGAAACATGTGTCAAAAAAAGTCACTAATTAATTGCTAAATCAATGTTTCCATAATATCGCGCATAATCTCTATATCTTGAACTATATGGAGAAAATCTGTCCTTTTGATATGTCTTCGTTAATTTACTTAAGACTTCTTTCGCTTTTAGCTTTAAACTTCAAAAAAAAATGGAATGGGATTCTTATCACTATTCGGTTTATAAAACAAACTTCAACTTTCCTTACCTTTTTATTGTAAATATTTTCTTAAAAATTTTTATAGAATTCGTTGAATAAACTAATGAATTGAAATTAAACAGAAAAGTTTTAACTTTAAATTTGTTTAGCAATATTTTTATAATCATATACTACTATGGATAACTGAATAAAAGTATTAAAAGTGGCATTTCGTTAGAAATTTTTAAAATTCAAGCTATATTTTTTCATTTAAATTCTTGGAAGTCCTAAGAAAACTTCGTAGGTTCATTTTTTTTACTTAAAACTAATTTTCTCTGTATGATATTTTCTTCATTTATAAGTTTTTCTTATTTTTGTTTCGTTTTAATTTGTTTTTCATTTCTAACCTCTTTACAATTTGTCTCACTTTTTCACAGCTTTTCTCACTTTCTCACTGTTTTTTCACAGTTTCTCACCGTTTTTTCACACTTTCTTACATTTTTTCTCACTTTTCACGTTATTTCACACTTTCATTTTACACATTTTTGCCTGAAACTTTAATAAAAACTATTCTACTAAATAATACTTGCAGGTGTTACGAAACAAGTTGGAGATGCGTTGTTATTGGAGGGCCAACAGCGTTCCGGACGTGTTGTTAGCATTGGTATTGCACCGTGGGGCATTGTGGAACGTAATCATGAGTTACTCGGCCATAATCGTGAGGTGCCTTGTCATAGCATAAGTTCCCCCAGGTGCGTAGTAAATGAAGCAATTAAGTTTCTAAACGACAAGTTCATACCAGACAAAGTGTTTCCATTGGCAGCACTGCTGCCGCCATGTTAAATTACTTGTTAATCATACACCGCAGGGCATCCTGTTAGAATACATAGAACTAATGTACAGTGAACCCTGCACGTGTCTGTTATTTTTAAATTTCAAAAATAACAAATTCGAAATTTGTCAAGTGATTTGTAGTTAATAATAATATTGTATATTGTATTTTATATTTAATAGATCAAAGCTAGCTGTGTTGAATAATCGTCATGCATACTTCTTGTTGGTAGACAATGGCACACAAGCCAAATATGGCGCCGAATTAATACTAAGAAGAAAATTGGAAAAATTCATCTCAAATCTAAAACTACATCCATGTAAGTTTTTATGTTTATAAATAAATTCTTTTTTATTTAATTTTATTGCGTACTAAAAAAATATATTTGGTATATGTACTGTGTTCAAAGTAATATTTCATAATGAAAGAGAAACCAAATATGATTGATAGCTGACGAAGGTTTCTACATATATATATGCAGGAAATTTAATGCTGCAATCGAAACCAATTTCCCAATTTGAATGCAATGACGTTCCTAGCTATATCCATGTAATAAACTGTTTTCATAACACCGTCTATAACATTCGTAGGGTTATCGTATTTTTTTAAAATTACTAAACTGTCAATAGTAACAACACACAATAACAACATATGTGTGTAAATTATAGTAAATCTGTTCGGAGTTGTCGCACTTCAACGTACAACATTTTTTATTAGATTTTCATTTTTATTTGCACAGAAAATAACTAGATTTTTATGTAGTAGATATTTCATTCCGGAAACAGGTGCACAAATGTCACGGCTACAAAATAAAACTTTGTGCAAACAATTTTCTATAAAGGAAATTGGAAATGTATTTATTTGTAGTACGAACTCACGAACTCTAAACTAAGCATACACGACTTTGATTAAAAGGATTTTCAGCTTTTATATGAAAGTATTGTCAAAGTTATTAATAAAGATTTATACAATGTGGTACCAAAAACAAATCTTTGCTCAATGACATCTGCGAACGAGTTGCAAAATCTGCATCAAGAGTGCATACATATTTTCTATTAATCATAAACTAACTACCATCTTGCACAACTGAACTTCCGCTGAATTGTCAAAAGTTTTAAACAATAATAAAGTGCGTTGTCGTATTTAATCTCACCATGTTAACATTTTCATATAATACACAGACCAATGTCCAATGGTAAACTCTACAACGGTATAAACTCAAAATGTCTAAGTCATTCAAAGAGCACAGCATGCAGCATGAAAGTGTCCTTTCAGTGCTAAATGTATGTGTACCATATTTGCTTGCACATTGAAAGATATATCTTGTATGCGTAACAAATTGTGTGTATCCTTGCAATTACTGCAATTTGTGTACGTTTAAAATTCCTTTTTTCCTCGTGCTCCTCTACTAATTGCGTTAAACGTGTCAACCTTTGCCGTTACGAAGGACTTCACACTTCTTGATTTGGTTTTTATGTCATTTTTTTCTTACTTTCAGTTACACATTCCAGCACACCCGTGGTTTGTCTTGTCATCGAAGGAGGTACAAATACTATACGTGCAGTGCTCGAGTACGTGACAGATACGCCGCCGGTACCTGTTGTGGTATGTGACGGCTCTGGTCGTGCTGCCGATTTAATCGCTTTTGTGCATAAGTAAGTGAACCCTACTATATACTCGTATTTAACATTGAATATTTAAAATATATGTTAAAGCTAGAAATAATTTATTAACGTGTATGTATTGGTAAAACTTAAGAAAAATATTTGTAACGACTGTTTTTCATCATCTCACGATTTAAACATAAAAGTGTAGATTCTCGCGTATTCAAATCTAAGAAATGGGACTATAAAGTCTTATATAGATTGACAGAAAAATAAAAAAAATTTGAGTTAGAGAAAGAAAAAATAGATTGGTGAGAACGTTGGAAGAAGTTGAAGAATTAAGTAGTTATATCTTCTTCATTCCATTACGTTCCCAGGGGAATATTGGGCTACAACGAACTTTTACCAACTGTCACGATTTCTTGCCAGGGCTAATATATAGTTATATCATATTGTTATATTATGTAGTTACGTTATATAGTTATATTATATAGTTTTATTGCGTGAATAATTTAACGTATCTGCATCTTAGACTGGTTTTGAACCAATTTTATCTACTTTCTTAGATTGTAACCTTTGTTGTTTAAAGCTTTCAAAAATAAAACAATTTTCTAGAAATTTTTTATATTTTGCCTGGTAATAAATTGGGCAGATGAATGTTCAGAAAAAACTGAGAAAGAGCCTTCTTATTTATACGATAATGAAATTATTCTCTAAAGCACATGTAATTTTGTAAAATAACTTGATCATTAAGGCAGCACAACTCTTATTGTAAGAATAATGTATACAATAACATCATTCATCTGCTGTTATTAATACCAGTTACCGGTATCACTCTAATCTTGAAACTGGCTCTTACCTGGAAATGGTAGGCAATAAAACTTTATCTTCTTGTGTTTCTCGAGATATGGTACATAAAGCATAAAGCTAAATAATTGCTTGAACTTAGTTTTATAAACAACGAAAATTTTATATTAATTTTAAAATTTTCTAATTTTCTTGCCATAGATTTAATGCGGTCTGTTACTACTTAATGATGCAGCATGCAATTTCTGTATCACCAAACATATGCATTTATAAGATTTCTATTAATTTATACTTTATTGTAGAGGGTTGACATTGTCATTAAAATATGAATATAGATCCTACGCGGTTCCTTTAAAGTTTTAACAAAGAATCAAAAGTGAGAAAGTATCATATCCATCTGAGATAAATCGATTTGTTTTTTTTTTTTTTAGAACTTAGATGATATTAGTAGTGTAAAACACTTATATAGATAATGCACTAACAAAAAAATCTCCATCGGTACTAATTGAAGTTATATATTTGTATATAATTTTTTACGTATTGAGAAATGAAATCTATCTAAACCTCTACTGTTCTTTGGGTCATATCAAACGTATAAAAAGACAATGTGCCGATAAACGCCCAATTGCAAATTCCAAGTAATTTCCGCCGGCACCAATTTAAATTATGTATTTCGCATAACTTATCCCTTGGTAAGAAGGGAGGCCTACCAAAACCTCTGCTGATTCTTGTGTTTCAGCACCGGGTATGAATACGCAGCTTCTCGCGGAATGACGTAAAATACAATCATTCTTCCCGCGTAAGTTTGAGTTTAACCATAGCCACCACAACACCATAGCTGTGGGCACTGATCCCCGTGGTACCAGTTATACATATCCAGTCGAGTATCGCAATTGAATCTCATTCACTACCATTTACACTTCAAACAATGTCGAAATGGTGTCGGTATATTAGTCTCCTCTTACAACAGGCAAGCTTAGACCTGAGAATATTCTAACTCCTTACCCGCAGGAGGACGTTGGTATAGAATACATACTCGCCTTAGTTTCTTTTAAAGTTTTGATGAAGAAATTTCTATATTCGTAGAAGGCAAAACTGTTATAAGGACTTAATAAACTTCTTGTTTTTAATATTAAATATATTATGGTATGCAATGATATAAGTATGATAGTAGACTCTGTTTTTGAAGTATATCTTGAATGTCGACAGCGTTGATCATATTGCTGCTGTTGTATGAAGCAACGTCTTATTAATCTATTAAGGTATTAATGTAAATGTCGATACACAAAGGTGCATTGTTTAAAGCAATTTTGTAATTTTTCTATTTATTGATGGATATTTACCTTTGAAACTAAAAATTTTAACTATTTAAATTTCTTTAATCTGATGAAGTATTGAAAGGTTCTTAACAACAGTCGTATCGTATTTTGAAATCAATAATGAATTGATACTATGAAATCGATTGAATCCTACTTCAACAACGACTTTCCTCATTAAGTGAAATCGTTGTTAAGCTGAAAAGGTAAAGTTTGGGCTATATGAAGGATTTAGTAACACTACCCAATCGTTATTACTAGGACAGGTTTTTAATTGGCACACTAATGTGCAAGCTGGCGTTGTTAACTCTGCAAACAAATCAATTGTTGTCTGTTTCGTCTAGTCTGTTTTAGTTATATTGAACATGAGCAGCTCATAATGGATAACAGCTTTATGAAATCAGAAAATGGATTTCATAATAGTGACTCTATGAATACTTCGCTTTGGCATTGAGTTGGTTGGTTGACTGGGTGAATATACAATTCTTTTCGCTTGGGATCAATTTTAATTAAATGATTTCTATTTCTTTTATGACTAATAATTCGTAATAAATTGGCACTTTTTTCTATAGTGTTAATGATACATATCAGACATCATACATTTTGGTCTTTAATCGAATGTTTTATAATTTTTATACTTTTAAATAAATCCAACTGATTTAACCGCTTGATTTCAGCTGATTATGTTAAGTCAAATAATGTAAGACAGTATTTTGTAGAATAAAGTTCTCAATTCTTTATTTTTCAAGTTTTTTTGTTAAGTTGCTCTTTAGTTTTGATGTCGAAATCACCATATTTGAAACTTTGGCACCACTCCAAATAGTGTTTTCATAATGACTTTGTCACCATTCCGTGCTCTTTTGTATATTTCCCTTACTTTTTTGTTGTGGAGAATTCAAGCAGAATTTTCTGTCCAAAGTAATTAGCAAATGTAATATTTATATCATAATATATATATATTTTTATGTATTATATATTATATATAAAACGAGTCCCACTTATTTAATCTTAAGTAACAAATTTACGTTATATCTAAAATTCATTTATGTAAATATTTTTCTAAATTTTTTTGTATCTTTTTACATTTTTGACTTTAAAAATTAATTTTGAAATGCTTCTTATATTAATATTTCATTAATTTTCGAAATCATTTCCTCGCCTTCAGCAAAATTTTGGTAGCCAATATTTTAAGTCATTTTCTGTGTTGGGACATTAACTAAATGAGCCATTTCTGGTTTATTGAAGCTTTGACAACGTAATTTGTTCTACTGAACCAGTAAATATTTGTTTTATTTTTTTAATTAAGCTTTGGTTTTCGTTTTCCTTTGGCCCAAACAGACGCACAAAACTCTAATTCCCATCTTCTGATGGTATTAAACTCAACCACATCCAATTGGAATTATTCGCCTCACAACTCCCCACCAAATACCAAACAATTTTGGTTTACTGATGTTTGGTTTGCATTTTCGTATTTTATATATTACTTTACTTTATGTTACTGGCTGTTGAATTAAGGAGGCACATTCATTTCAATTAATTTAATTAATCTTCTGCCATTTCATACTAATTTGTAGTAATTATTGTTATTTTTTTTATTTCTTCCCTTATTTCTTGTTTTCAGTTGTTGAAGCGTTAAGTCTGTTCTGTTGTAAATACAGACGTACTTTTACTTCTTATTCTATTTCCGGTTCCGCTCATACTACAACAACACTTTTAATTGTATATTTACTTACTGCCATTTTAATGTTTATTTTCATGTCCGACCTTTACTTTACACAGATATGCGTCAGATGGTGATGAGCAGCCTGTGCTGGAGTCCATGCGGGATTACTTAATTGGCACAATACAAAAAACTTTCGAAGTTGCCATGGATCAGGCCGAAAAACTTTATCAGGAACTTTTGCAGTGTACACGCAATAAAAATTTGGTAAGTTTGCAAAATATTTAATTGCATGGCATAAACTGAAAATTTATTTCAACGAATTTGTTGTGATATTTTCAGGTTTTATGTCTTTTGTCATTAAAGAGACTTTAGTTGAATAAGCGTTCGAAAATAGTTTACTTGTTTTTAATTTACTGGCACTTAAAATGTTTGCAAAGTACACTTTGAGGCTTCTTAAATATATTTTTAATGACAAATAACCAACGCAAGAACTTGTCCCTCTACACATGATGGTGCAGAAAGTGGATGCAACATAGTAGTGACCAGTATGACCGGTCATGGGCTGTTTGGTGGATATGTTTTTAGTTTAAAAATGCTCTTTTATGAATATTGTATAAGTTGAAAGGTTGATGACTAACTCTAAAAAAAAGTAGACCGAAATTCCTACACAAAAGTCTTAAGTTCACTTACATAAGAAAGAGTCCAAAGTTAAGATTAAAAATATACTGGGCTTTATTATGACCCCAAAATATTTCCATAGGTAACTAGCAATGAAGGTGTCATGCTAAGTAGTGGCATCACAATGTACCGTAGGTGCTAAGTAAGTTGATATAGTAAACTGAGGCATCAGAGACAATATCAAGGCAGCGTAACTCAACTTAATCTATATACAACAATATTGAGAATAAAAATAAATGCTTCAGTTTCGAAAATAATATAGAATTTAAGGACCTATCTGACAAGTTCCTACTCAACTTTCCATAGAAAAACATTTGCAAGTATTTTGAGGAACTCTTTCTGATTAAGTTCAGCAGGAAACTAAAATGAAACAATTATGTAAATTCTTTTAAGGAGTGTAAAATCAAATGGTTCACAGACAGTTTTAGGGCTGAAAATGATTATGAGACGAAATGCACACATATCATAAAAATATATTCCATCGAAAGACGTACAAATTGCGTACTATCTGTTACAATGTCTATCTGTTACTAAATTCACACATTTTTGATTCTATGTTAGTATGGAACTGTCAGTTAAGAAGTAATAACAAAGTTAACTTCTAATACGTTTCGGGACTTATAGGAATTAGCATATCAAAATATTCTATAAAAAAGCGCTTTCCTCTACGAATTTGAAAGCCCTGAACGGTATAGCAGTATTGTGATAAAATAAGAAGGACAAGGCAGGCAGGAACTTGCTGTAATCTATGCATCAGACCTTATATGTAAATTTTAGAATGAAAAGATTGATTTGCCAGCTAACAAAATAAGGGAGTTTGATGCAGTGATACATTATAAAAAATAAAAATTTCTGGAGTCATATTTGACACCAGACTAAGGATTAGCCACACTAAATCCAGTCGAAATTTGAGGTATACGCTACATTACTACCAAATTCTTTCTACCTAAAATTAGAAAGCTTTCACTTTATTTAATTTAGTTAAATGTTCATAAATTTTTATTTATATTTTTACGTATATCACAAATGAAAAAAAATCAGAATAGATGTAGAAATCAATCCAATTTTTTACGTATATCACAAATGAAGAAAAGTCAGAATAGATGTAGAAGTCAATCCAATTTTTAATTTTTATTCTCGAGGTTTAATAACTTAGTTGGAATGTGTTCTAATGCTCATACTGTGAGACACAAAATATCATATTAATATGTGTGTAATTGTGGAGTTTATAACTGCCTAGGTTGGGTTATCTTAAGGACTCTGCATTGTCCTTCTTTGTACTTCGCTGTTGTCCACTAGTTGTTAATTTTTTATTCATCATCTGTTGCATTGTCCATCCTTTTTGCTGACGATTTTCTTTAGCTTTTTGTTTACTTCGTTGCGGGTTTAAAACCTTCGTTTTATTTACGTTTGAAATCTTGTCTGGATTGTATACTCTTAATGGATTATATTTAATGATTTAATATTAAAAAAAAATTCATAAAAATGCTTCATACAAATGAATTTCACTTGACATATTTATTATTATTTTAAAGAATTTATATTAAAAAAAAACATTTAATAGCACTTATCAATCATTAATTCTGATTGCACAGTTCAGCAGCAATTGACCTCAGCTTCTTCCTGAATTACTGAAGTACTGAAGTCTTTAAATTTATTACTTTTCTGTAATTAATAAATTAAAATTAAATTTTCCTTGCCTGACAACATTTTCCGACGGCTTCAATTTTTAATAATTCATTAAATTAATTCTGTGAAAATATTTTTTAAAAATTTCCGCCATGACATAGCAATCAAATAAAGTTAAATGGACTATGAAATTGTGAAGAACCTTAATTTAAAGTGAAGCAAATTTAACAAAGTAATTAATAACATTTAACGTTAATGAACTGTCTAGGCCTATGAAGATGTTAACATTAAAGTTAATTACATTTCGTGGTGGCAATTTAATACTAAAGTACCTCAATAATTACATTAAGTACCAAAATTCAAATTTTAATTGTTTTATATTTGTTTTCTTGTACTATGAAATAAATTAAAATTTGCGGTTTTAACTGAAACTTTGCTGTTAATGAAGGAATTATATTTTAGTCTAAAGTCAAATTTTAATTGAAAATAAAGCATTATGGAATATAATTTATAAATTATATATATGAAAAATATGTATATGAAAAAGGGGAGATTAGTTATTAGGTAGGGTCTGTGCTCGAATCAACCTTTGAAAAGATTTAAAATACGACCTTATCTGCATAAAATATTCGTAGTAATCAAAGTATTGTTCTCTTAAAAATTTTGCCTGACAATTTAAATTGATTGTCGTGATATGCTACATCAAATGGAAAGCAAAAATAAACAAGTCTTTGTATGACGCCTGAAATGCAGTAATTGATAGCAATACGTGAGCGAGCTTTTTTGCAAGACTTTCAATTTTGTAGATCAGTGCCTACGGTACTCCACAACTAAGTCTCAACTGAAAATATGAAATGCTACCGATAGAAGTCAATTTTATAGACTGGTGCCTTATTGTAGAATTAGCTGCTCCACAACTAAGTCTCAAATGGAAACGTGAAACGCTACCGATAGAAGTAGCTGATTTGTCCCTGCAACTACGCCAAAGAGTCCCTCCTAAGCAAGATTAATCTAAAGCTCTCGTTAAGATATCTGAAGGGTTGATTGATTTGCATTATTATCGTAAAAAAATATCTACGATAATGTTTCTACAACTACGGTGGGTTATACTCTTTAGTAGGAAAGAACTAACACATTTCTCAGGTTATCTGAAATGTCACAATAGCCTACATTACCATAGTAACAAGATTGATTTGTTTGAGGTTATAAATAATACGTTATCTGAAGTTAATGATAAATAACAAATGATACACCTATTCAATGTTTTTGTAACTATTCTTTTTTCGTTCCTTGTTATCTTAGACTATGTTGCAAAAAAATAGAAGCCCTTAGAAGCCCTTATCTCCATCTGATATTTCGAAATTATCAACAGCTAACGTTCTGGTTCTCATTCAAAGAGATGAAATTTTTTCTGCTTCATAAGATTAGCTGTGTAGTATAAAAAATCTAGTTCTTACTACGTTGAAAGTCATTACCTTATTAATCTTTACAATAGTTTAAGGTAGAATATACGAATTGAGATTATTTTTTTATTTTAAAAGCAATTTTATTCGTAATTTATAAATACAAATATTACGCTTTATTTCCACAAAAATTTTTCATATTTTAATCTGACCCATAATTATTTCATTGTAGATTTTAGTCCTTTTAATCTTATACTTAGATACTTTATCTTAGATTTAAAACTTTTTATACTAACAAAGTAGATACAAGCAACTGCCTTAGGACTAAGCACAGAAATGCTTTGTTGATCTTATAATAAATCCTTGCATCTTTTACCAATCAGTTGATTCATTCGAAGTAATTTCTGACAGTAGAGATTGGAATCATTTCAGCACATAGTTGTAGGTTATAATGGATTATATTCTTGACATCCTACCAGAAACATAGTCTTGTTGCTCATCCTATTGTTACCATTTATAAAGTTTCATATTTTTTTATCAAAACCGTTTCAATATAACATTGTGAGACATCCTAATTTGTTACTCTATCCCTGCAATACATCGGGTGTGTGTTAATTTTATTCCACTGTTCCGGCATCTCTTCATGCTCCCAATGCGTGTAATGAGTTAATCACCTAGTAAAAGCATATCAAAAACACGATTTATTATAACTTCATTATCTTACATTTTCTTCTTATTTTGTATATATATGTATACAATAAATAAATATATATTTGTTAAAATTTAATGTATATAGAAAATCATCAATTTGCTGCTGATTTTATTTTTGCTGAACTTCAGGCAAAATTCAATTTATTTGCTTTCTCGAATTGGTGTTACTCAGCCCACCACAGGATAATAACACTGCAGACGGTATTATGGTTATTTAGTTGGTGTTTGTTATTTTATGGCCCACATTTAGAATGAATTTGTATATCAAACTGTTGATTTTGCCGGAATCTGTTTCTGTTGTTTTTGACTAACGACATCACATTCAAATATCTTTCCTATGAGTTTTTTGCCAATGGGCAACGCAACTGGTTTCGGTATTGGTGTCGCATGGAAGCACAATAACAACACAACTATTTACTTAGCTGTCGAATTTTTATTAAGATTTTAATTGGCTTTTCATTACGGTTTTGTCAACACAATAAAAGCAGTCAAATAAATTATAAATTTTATTCCAACTTCCACACTCACTTTATGGTAGCTTTAGTACTTTAAACGAGCACACATTTGCTTGTCATTCGCAGATTACAGTTTTCCGTATACAAGAGAAGCCCGAAGGCGAAGCGCAAGAATTGGATCAAACTATACTAACCGCACTGTTTAAGTCACAGCACTTAAGTCCACCGGAACAGCTTAGTCTGGCGTTAACTTGGAATCGTGTTGATATCGCACGTAGTGAGATTTTTGTCTATGGACAAGAATGGCCACACGGTAAGTAGAAGTGAAAAATAAAATTAGAAATATAATTTATATTTACCTTAGGAAATAAAAATATAAATGATTTGCATTTTAAATTAAATAGTAAAATTTTAAGCTTCATTAAGTAAACTTGATTTATTTAAATTTGATAAACTCGAAGACTGCCTTTCATTTATGCTTTCGTAATCAATTTCTCTTCGACGTTGTAATTTAGGTGCCTTGGATGAAGCGATGATGCAGGCACTTGAACACGACAGAATCGATTTTGTGAAACTGCTTTTGGAAAATGGTGTCTCAATGAAAAAATTCTTAACAATACCAAGACTTGAAGAGTTGTACAATACAAAGCACGGCCCTGCGAATACTCTGGGGTAAGTTTACATTACTTAGTCGAATTTTAATTTAATGATACTCAAAGTTACTTACTATAAAAGGTTTTTATTTTATGATTATGTATTTAATTTGTTTTTTTTTCGTAAATTTAGTTATATGTATATATAAATTTTTTTTATATTGTTTTCTTTTCATTTATAGTTACATACTACGCGATGTTCGTCCACATATTCCAAAAGGTTATATATACACCTTACATGATATTGGTTTGGTTATAAACAAACTAATGGGTGGCGCTTACAGGTAAAAACTAGATAAATATTTTTAGTTTATTTCGATATTTAATAATATATAAAAATATTTTTATTTGTTTTAACTATTAAAATATCTCACTATTCACGATTTTCAGTGTATGCATACAAATTTCAGTTACTAAATTTATCATTAGGTTTGAGGTAAATTTATAAAAAAGAACGTATTTTTACTTGTAAAAATGGCACCATATTTATAATTTAATTTCTCTTAACTGTAATAAAATTATTTCAACTATTTTTAAATATATAAATCCCAACTCTGTGGTGGTTTTTCGGAGTGCTTGCAAAATATCCCCTTATATTTACTATACAGGGTAAGGCGAAAGGTTACCTATGCAAGCGACCATATCTTTTCTGTGTGAAATTATTTTTTATTAATTCGAATTAAAAAAATTTGTGGAAATAATCAAAATTTCAGAATACATTCAGTCTAGCTCGTTGTGGCGAACTTTTGCCTTCACTATGGCCTTCAAAGGGTTAAAAAATGAATTGCATGCTTCACGAATGTGATCTTCCCATTCTCGAACAATGGCTTTCTTCAGCACTGGTATACTTTTTACTGGTATAACTACCAGTATAATTATACTGGTATAATTTTAAGTCCTTACCTTGTTCTCCAAAATGGTTAAATGAAAGTGCGCATCGGATTTGCATCTGGCGATTTCAAAAGCCATTGCGTAGACAAAAATAAGATTTTTTTACCATTCTTCGTTCACACAGGCTTTATAAGACCGAGACCGGTGCCGACTATTGTTAGAACGTCCATGGTCTACGACTGAAATGTTTGCGTGCCCACAGTTGTAAAGCAACTTTTAAAACATTTTATAGGACCCAAGCTCGATGGAAACGACTAGAGAGCGTCCATCGCTGGTCACATCTACCCACGGAAAATTACTTCGGGTGGCTATTTGTAGTCTCATTCGTAGTGTTTTAGGCTGTGCGTTCAGTTAAGAAAACACGATAATTTTGAGAGTTTATGAACTACGGAATGGGGAAATTTTTTTCATCAGAGAACACAATGTTTGGAAATTCGTCAAAGGAGATCAATTCCTTTGCTTCTTCGAATCTAAGTGTTTGTTGCTTTGGTGTAAGATTTTGTGCCTTTTGGAACTTGTAAGGCTATAGTTGAACCTTGTGCTCATTTTAGAATAGGCTTTGGGTGCTTCGGCGGCATATTTTAGTTCTTTGCCCATTTGATTACCAATATGACGTAGATTTCGTTTAAGTCGAGCCTTCACTTTCCGAACCATTTTAGGTGATATTGTTTTTTTTCGCCCATCATCATATCGTTTAGCGACGCCTTTTGTACTATTATAACGATTTATGGTAGTAACGTACAAACATTTTATTCTCTTTGAAGTATTTGAGCTCACAAGTAACATTTGCTTGTCTGGTTGTGATTTTCCAGTCAAATAAAACGTAATTATACTATTACGTTTGAATTCCATTTCGAATAACTTTTGTTCTATAAAATAATTTGTTCAATTAGGACTATTTTGTTTTTCTCTAAATACTAATAATAAACTAAGTTTATTGTTTCACCACTTTGGAAGTAATCTATTAATAAAATTGATAATGTCCAAAGCGCTTTTCGCAGAGTGCGTCTAAATAGTAGAACATATTCTACATATTTCATACATTCCTGTATGTTTTTTAATTATGCTTGATTTGCCACTGGTGTTAGCTTCGGGATATAGTCATCTGATATCAATGGTTTCAACTAATATTCAAGGTGCTTTACCAAAACGCCTTTGTGCTGAATTTCAAATTAAAAAATTGATTGGTTTGCATTCAAATAGACAAAAATGTGCAAATAAATAGTCATATATTGATTTGTCTAATCACGTTAAATTTACGAGGGTTATTTAATAAGTATGTGATAATTATTTACAATTAAATATTAAAAAGCTCATAGCTAGTCTGTGTCCTCAATATGAGAGCTTCTTTTATTTTGACAGCTGTCTGAAACTCACGTGTCGTTATCTTGTAAAAAACACGATATTCTATATATATCATTACATATTTCTCCTTCTAAACTAAGTAGACATTTTAAATAAATTTGAATGTTCTGTACGATATAGATATTTCGTAGTCTGTTGCTATTTTTATCACAGCTATGTGCATGTACATTGATCAAAATATTAAAAATTTCCTTTCCTTTGTAATTTAAAGGAACCTAACCAGTACTTTTACCTTCTTAAAGAAGAAGTAATAAAATGGCAAACATTTTTAAGGCTCTTAAAGTAAAAAAGGGCAAAATAATAAGTTAAAAGGACATCAAAGTTGAGTATAAACATGAACTTGAAGGTAAAACCTTTTAACATTTTGGGTGATACTTTGTCACTGGAAATAAGTTGAAATTGAGTTACTTTCTGTGACCTACGTAAGTTACAAGAAGTTTTTAGTTGAGTAAGATAAGAAATAAAATTGTAATGTCTTAAGTAACAAACTCATGGTATATTGAAAGTTGGTGTACTGACAATGCAAGTATAAAATTTAGTTTGGAATAAATCGAATTTCTTTAATATAAAATATTTTCAGTAAAATATTAATTATATTGTTTTGTATTAGAAGTATTTTTATTTAGCAATTCATAGAATATGAAAATATTGTTGTTGACAATATTTAATTGTTATTAATAAAAATATAGAAAATTGAAATTAAAAATGTACTTTTATATAGTATCTACTTTATTTTTTTTATTTAATAAATTAGCTTTTTCTTAAAAATATTCTTACATGGAATCTTTTTTCAATATTTCTTTGCAATAAGTTTATCGATTGTTTAAAACTGTCAAGGAACCTCTTCCAAAAAGTGGCTAAACCTTGATATTTAATATTATTTTTAAATATTTTTAACTTTCAAGGAACCGCTTCCAAAAAGTGTCAAAACTTTTTAACTTACTTATATTTTTTATTAATTCAAATTAAGAATCAGAAAATATTTACAATAATAATCATCCAATAAATGATAATTAATTAAATACAACCAATTTAAAAATAGAATCCTTTCTTAGTGCGTAATCAACACTTTTTTCATCATACTTTTGACGAGTTTGAATTCATTCTTCTCCTCTGCCTCAATCAATGAGTGTAAAGATATATCGAATAATGAAAAAATGTATCTTCGATTGCAATTATTTCAGTTTCTTTTCACTTAAAGAAATTACAAAAACGAATTTAAAAGAAATATAAAATATATAAAATACAAAATACACAACAGCACAAAGCAAATTAAGGATAAATCCTAGGAGTAACTTGAGTCCCGCAGTGCGTATACGTGATATCAATTTTAAAATCAATTCTTCCCACATTTACACACAAAAAAAAATATTTTTTTCCCTTCCATTCAGTTGCCTTTATTTATATCTGCTAAGCACAATTAAGGCTGTTTTACAGTGTAAATGAGGATTCTAATAACAGCCTAATTTAAAAGCTCCCCTCGGTTTTTATTATTAGGCATTTTCTATCTAACAATTTTTTATATATTTTTATGTTTTGGACTTTTTGTTTGATATAAAAATGTTAAATATTTGCAAATGGCAAAATTAAATTCAATTTTAAAGTATTTTTCCAAATGACTGATGCCTTGTTTGATTTTCCAATTTTATAATAGTATTTGTCTAGACTTTTTACAGTTATTATTGTAATAGCTTTTCACGCTATTTAAAGACTTAAAAAAACTAAAATATCTACTAAAAATAAAAATTAATAAGATAATTTTTTTTCCACTAACGCCAAGAATATAATTATTTTAGGAAAAGAATTTTTCCTTTCTTGAATATTTTTTAAATTCCTACAATTCCTATTTTAAGATATTACGACGTTTCCTATTTTAAGACATTACGAAATATGCAAAAGACGTTAATTACTTAAACAAAAGTATTTCATTATGGCAAAAAGTAAATTTTTTTACTAGTCGAAATAAAATAAAAATTAAAAAATTAATTTAAAATCTTAAAGTACTCCAAAACCTAAAAAGTTTTAACACAATTTTAGTCTTTTAAATGTAATCCAACTTAAGAACTAGTTTATTCTTAATTCTTTAGAAGAGTAAAAAATACTAGAAGACAAAGAGCTTCATTATAATTTTAATTAATATATATATTCAAATTTAAAAATTCACTTATTATTTATTTTTTACAAGAATTAATTGTACTGTAATAAATTCCAAAGAACATTATTATCAAAAAGTACCTATTTACTAACTATTTATCACAATTTTAGTCTTGTCTAAATAATGTCTAAATATATTAAAATGGCTTATTTCAAATTCTTCGAAAGCTTAAAATTAATTAGTTTACAAGTTTACCAGGTTTTTTTTTCAAATTTAGTAGTATTTGACAACGCTATTAGGTTATGTTATATTATACCCAAGATCTTAGGGATTCACTTTGGCCTATTGGCCACTCAAAAATCAAAAAAAATTTAAAAACAAACTTGAACCTTTGGCAACCATTAAAATTCTTCTTAGAAATAAGTCCTTAAATTGGCCATAATCCTTAAAAATAGAATCCCTTCAAACAGTAAATCGGCGCGTCGGATATGATAGATAGTAATAATGCAGATGTCATGGCACCTTTATCGTCCCTTTCTATAAGAGCGACAAAAATGATTAAACGCAAAGTTTAATCTTTTAATATGGTTCTCTACCATATATCTTTACGGGACATCTCAGTGAGAGTGCTGTATATTTTTTTAACAAGAATATAGTACTTGTATGTGCAAATAAATACCTGCATATCGTTAAACACCGAATGAATTCAACAAATGTTTGTATCAAGTCGACAAAATGTCCTGATTTTTAGGTGTTCTGAGTCATTACTTGAAGGATTTCGTCTGACCAAATCATTTCCCTTGCAATTGTCGAAAATATTCCTATGATCTGGATATTTTTCCAACCAACGCTGTTTAACTGTTTAAAATGATCGTTTGGGTGAAATATGTTCAATCAAAAGGAGCTCCTTCAAAGTTACAGCAATTTAGTGTTGACATAGTTCATATGGAGTTTATCTATTTCTTTTGCCATATTAAGATCACAGTAAATTGTCTTATTTGAACAATAAAAACCATTCCAGGAGACGTTTGAAGACAAACATATTTTGATCTCTTCCTTTAATGATTTCTTTGAATCAGTATCATTTTTGATTCAGCTTGATTTGGAATGCATAAAACTTTGATTTCCAACCTACATTTCGGACTACTGGTGTAAAAACTTGGACAGCGTTTTTAGTATTCATGCCTACTTTAAGTGATATATCTAGATGATATGATAGATTGATCAGCTTCTTAAGAAGAATCTTATGTATGGAGTACAAAGAGTATAAATCAATAATCGGTTTGTTTTTGATGTTATTCCTAATGGGTAAAAAAGATGTTATTTTTTCATTGTGCTTAAAAACTTGAAATGCATTTTTAATACCAATATTATCTTTAATTGCGGACTTAAGATGCTTAAGATGTTTTTGATGTTATTCCTAATGGTTAAAAAAGATATTTTTTTATTGTGCTTACATGCTTAAAAACTTGAAATGCATTTTTAATACCAATATTATCTTTAATTGCGGACTTAAGATGCTGTGTTAGATTGACTAACTTCTTGAAAACCATACTATTTACATATTGCTAGAGAATGGATCAATAATTTGTTTGCTTTTGATATTATAATTTATTAATAAATGGGAAATGATCAGGGTTCCAGATAATTCGGATGAATTTTTTCGAGTACTGAAACAACATTTAAACTATTTTTAAGACATATTTAATATACTTTTCGCTAAAATCACTTTAAAAGCCTCGTATGATATGGGAGTAATAAATCTTGCTTCCGTGTAGTATACTTGGCACTATATTATATAAAAAATCTTATAATTTAAATATATAATTTTTATTGAACTTTAAATAGTTATTTTTTTATTTTAATTTATGTCAAAATAATTAAATTTTGTAGTGTTTTTATTTCTTTTATTCTGTGAAAAGCATAAAAAGTTAAATCCACAACTGTAATCATATAATAATAATAATAAATGTTATTTTATGGTTCTATTTCTGATACTGTAAAGTAAAAACATTCCCATGTCATTATCACTCTCACTTTAATCCACATTAGTATGGTGTAATTTTAATTAAATTTTGTAATTAAAAAGTTTTTATTACTGATTTTACTACATGGAGTTTATTGCCGATAAACTCAGTTTAAATCGATTTGATTATGCTTCAGCATTTAATGTACTACTCAATATTATTTTAAATCTGTAGAAGCAAGTAATTAAAATTGACATATTTTAAATTTTTACTTAATTGTGTTTAAAAATAACTTATTTTATTATTTTTATTTAATAATTAAATTATTTAATTAAACAAGTTGTGTAAACTGTGCATATTGCTCTTGACAGTTTGTTTATTTTATTGTGTTGAACTATTATCATGTAACATTTTATTACTTAAAAGTTAACACAAATTGCTTCCTCCTAAACACTACAAAAATAACAAAAATTATTTGCACTTTACCACAATAGAAAGGATAATCCTCTATAAATAGTTTTATATGACCGTCCCTAATAATCTTTTCTTTTTCAAATATGTTTTTGTGCTGTGGCATTCATCGAACCTCAAACCGAACACAAATAATGCCAACACCATTTGCAAAGATACATTAAACCACTTAATCTCAAAGGAAATGTACGCTTATTTAAATAAAAAAACAAAAAATGTTTATGCAAATATATGTAGAATGTGAAATAAATAAAAAATTGAATATGAAATAAAAATTTAAATATCAGAAATGGCTGGAAGAAAGGGTGTTAAAATACATTTTGCAAAATTTTTATTCAAAGAATATATTTATTCTGAGTTAAATATATTATGTCCGCTACATTGTGCAATTAAATCAGTAGTATCTTTGAATATTTATTATATATTTATATAAAAATCTAATTTAAAACAATAAAAATTGAATTGGTTTATGCAAAAAGAAGAAAATGTGATAAGTGTGGTACTTTTTTCTATAGTCAAAACCAAGAACTAAGAGTAATCAAATAATAGTTCCCTAGTCCAAAGTTACATAGTATTTTCAACAATACAATACAGTCTATTGTATTGTCTAGTATAGTCTAGTTGTATAGTCTAGTATTGTTAATAATACATTATTTTCCATTTCAATTGAATCATTATTGTGTTAAAGTTGTTATCATTACAATTTTATTTTTGGAAGTCTTTAGACCTTGCCATAACATACACACTACTGCTGCATGGCAGTGATACTACCTATATCGAGTCTAGAGTACTTACTTAAAATGCGCCTCATCTTTTTAGTTGCGACCTATATAAAAGTTTTACGAAAATTATTAATCTCGTATGTGAGCAATGACAATTCTGAAGGTACTATTAAAGAATTACGGACCAAAATCGATTATCACTGAATAGGCACAAAACTAAAGCTCAGTAGAGCATAGCAAGCAAGTCATCTAGTCGTTTGAAAAAGAGAGTATTTGTCAAATCGGTAATGCCATATTTTATGCTAAGCGGCAGCTAGTAGCTATGACGTGAATCAGGACAATCGGAACATAGACGAGCCCAATTAAGATAAGATTGGGCTAATAAGACTTTATTACATACTAACATTAGTTTAAAATTTGCCAAATTTGTGGAGTACATTTATTATTTGCACTTGATCAACACTGTTAAGATTAAATGTCAAATTATAATAGAAATAAAAGAAAAACAAGATAAAAGTTTTAATTTAGATTATTTCTATACCATAAAAATATCAAGTTCCCTCTATGCTTTAATATCCAATTCAAATTTTGATGTAATATTTCTATACGAGATAAGTAACATAAATTTTGTAAGAATTTCAGTTCATCAATCCATATATCTAATTTGATTCCATAATATATATCAGCGGAATGGTCCTTTATAATATTGTATTATCTTTTTATTGTGAACTATCTTCAGTAAAGGTAACTACTATCACGAGAACTATATCATATATCGAGAGAGAGAAAATGGGTTTAGATTCCATATAATCAGAAGCAAAAATTTTTTTGTTTAATATAGTTTAGAATAATGTCAATTTCGTCACTACTCAATTTGCAGTTTACCTCCAGTTGACTCCAATTGATGCATTGTAGTTATATTAGCTTCACATGAATAGTTACAAAATAAATAAAATATAACACTATGATAATAATCAATATCATTTTGTATAATTAAATTTTTTTAATGCAAATAAGTAAATTATCATTATTTGCTAGTCTTAGATACTACATTATCTCATTCTGCAAGTAGATTTTAGAACAGGAAAGATCAGTTTACCTTTGCCTTTCTTGCATTCCTCTAAAAAAGTAGTCTGATATAAAATAAAGAAAATAGTAATTCTTGAGACCATTTGGTGTCGTTCTGCACTTTACCCTCGCCTTTCTAGGTTTTCCCTCAAAAAAGTTATGTTGATGTAATATATAAAAAATTATAGGTTTAAAGACTATTTGGATTTGTTACGCAATTACGCATAGAACATGATGAACCTCTTTGCAACTCACAACTTCTTCACCACGTTTTACTACTGTTTTGCAATATTTTACATCAATACCCATTATTTGGATATATATAATTATAACTTATTTTTACTAATAATGCCATTTGAAGCTTCAAAGTTCATATGACTGACTGTAGCATATTTATATTATTCTCCAACTCTTCAATATATATTGCCTCTACAATGCTTCTTTATTGAAAATTTTGCCACTTAACAATTTTCTTTGTTTTTTTTTTTAGGTCCTATTATACGCGCCGAAAATTTCGTCCTATTTACGCAAAAGTTATGAATAGTTATGCCAATGCACATCGTAAATCCTCTACATATCAAAGATGTGCCGGAGCAAATTCATTGAGTTTGGTCACAGGACTGTTGCCCTTTACATCGGAAATGGCACTTTTTGAGTTTCCATTCAATGAACTCTTGGTAAGTTGCGAATTTCGTAATAAATTCAGCTTTCGTTGTATTAAAGTAATTCGATTCGTTTGGTATCGAATGAATAAAAATAAAGCAATAAAGGAAGATATTCAGTAAGAAGTATTTGAAATTGAATTTGTGGTGGGTGTAAGCATATTTATTTACGAATTTATTTTTTTTTTATTGCTGAAAATTCATGTGTAGGCTTTTGTTTGCCATAAGTTTAAAAACACATTTCATTTTTTCTGTTTTATTTCGTTTAAAACGTTCATTTGTATTCTTTAGATTTGGGCTGTGTTAACGAAACGTCAACAAATGGCACTGCTAATGTGGACTCATGGTGAGGAGGCGTTAGCCAAATCACTGGTTGCCTGCAAATTGTACAAAGCCATGGCACATGAAGCAGCTGAGGATGATTTAGATACGGAAATTTACGATGAATTGCGTGCATACGCCAAAGAATTCGAAAGCAAAGGTTAGTCAAATTTTAGTATTAAATTTAAAGGCTTTAAGGATAATAAAATAAATCTTTAGAAAGAAAAATTCTATATGGATGTTATATGTTGGATTTTTAATAAAAGCTAATCTTCTCTATCAATATTTTCTGCTTGCTTTTGTCTTTTTTATTTCATTTTGCTAGGGTTTTTGTATAAAAATTTTAATATTTATTGATTAAGATATGATATAGTGACTATAATACTTTTAATTTTATTATATTAAATTAAAAAAAACAGCGCTGATCCTTCACAGTCAAACAGTCATACTGACGTGTCAACATATAGCAGAAGCAATTTCGATAGCATCTGACTACTGCGGGTCGGCCAACTATGCTTACTTGTTGTTGTTATAACTTATAAGGACCTGCTAGGACTTTCGAGTCCTAAACGTAGACCCGGTTATATTTGAAACTATACCCCCTTGTATCTTCTCGTGCTGTTTCTGATTTCATACTTCTATTTCTTTGGTTTCATTTAATGATTTTTTGCTTTAAAAACTAACTCTAAGGCTTTCGATTGTCATTTAATGCATTATTTAATCATTTAGTCTAATTTATTAAGTTATTGTTATCTGAAACTATGCATGTTAAGTTTTTAAACTAAATTTAAGCGTATTATACCGAATAATAATTACAGCAGTATAATATTTAATTCCTATTTTACGTCGTCATCTGTCAGGTCTATCAACCTGAGAATGCAATGTGGCTCCTAAGAACAAAATTCAAATTCCTAATTAACTAATATATATATATATATATGTTTTGCTGGGAGAAATACTAATTTTTGATAGTAATTTTTTTAACAAGTTTAAGCTGTTTGAAAATTGCTGCCCAAACCATTCATTTAAAAGTCGAAACAACTTCAAACTATTCCCTTGACATCTCTTCAACATTCTAAAAAAAAAATTAAGCTTTTCTTTCGTTTTACCAAGGCAACTATTTTATAATTCATAGAAGAGTACAACGAGTAATTTGGTATGCACATTTAAAGTATTCTGACCAGTTGGTACAGTCAAGTGTTCACTACGGAATACATAAAGCAAATTTTTTGCTTGTTCCTTCGAAAGTCCAATTGTTTCGTTTAAAATCCAATTTGTCTATTTTTTTTTTGTTTCAGGTATCAAATTACTGGATTTTAGCTATCGTACAGATGCAGAAAAAGCGCAACGTTTATTGACATGCGAACTACATTCATGGTCAAATCAAAGTTGTCTCTCATTAGCAGTCGCTGCCAACCATCGTGCACTTTTAGCGCATCCTTGCAGTCAAGTTATATTAGCGGATCTCTGGATGGGTGGCCTACGTACACGAAAAAATACAAATTTAAAGGTAAGGGTCAGTTTAAATTTTTTTATATATTTAACGTATCAAAATTTTTTTTAATGACTTATGCAATTGCTTATAATATGTGTAAATAATATTCTAACACCAATTTTATTTAAAATAAAGTAAGACTACGAAAAATAAAATAAAATATCAAAAGTTCTCAATGTAAGATTTATATCACTGAAAGCCTATGCTCTGTAAGCGAATCAAATGCTCCGATTAAGGACACAAGAAGTGGTCAATAGGCTTAACATATAGTAAGTCAAATTCACCTAACTAATAAAAAAATTAAACGGTCAATATAATGTATAATATAGCCAACCTTTTGTCAAACTGCGCAACCAATTAATTCAACTTTTTGAATCATAATAACTATTGTATAGTAAGTACACTATATAATAGTAGAATAGAGTGGTGTTAGAGTGGGGCTGGCTGGCACCTTACTGATATAGTGGGCAGAAAAATGAAAAACGTGTCTTATAGCTTGAAGTAAGCCATTGGTAGTGTGACAATGAAGGTAAAAGATATCGGAATTATAATCACGATATTGGGTAAATTACGAGTTATGAATTTCATAAGAGGTATTATGTTTGAAATAATTCGACCAGCGCTCTCCACCAGATAAGCACTTGTAGTTGACACAATTATGCAGGACTTTTTTTTCTAAGTTCCAATTTAATTATATCAAATTTGAGGCTTTCCATGTGTTTTAAGCATTTTCTTGGACATTCGTTTCAGTTTCTGTGTATATATGTATATGTTATGTTGGTTTTGTATTTATTTTATTAATAATGCTTCTTTAGCTTCTTTAAGATACGGTTTTATTTTTTTCTAAAAAAAATATGAAAATATTATTATATGTAGGATAAAAGAACCTTTCGTCAGAAAATATATGAAGTTATAATGTCATAAAATCGTAATGGCAGTAATGATACTTAATTTTTAGTAGTCCAATAGTTCAACATTTATTAAAGAATTATTTTTGATAACATTATCTGGTACATCCAGCAAGCTTGTTAATCATAATTCTTGATTTTTTTATTGAAAACAATTTTCCCAACAATTTTAATCAAACGAACTGCAATCAAATAGGTCTGAAGATGACATGTCATGGTTTATTTTTCCAGGTTTGATTATTGTAATAAGTAAAATATTAAAAATTCAATCAATTTTGGAAAGTATTTTTAAAAGTTTAAATTTTTGATATTTTATAATATTTAAAATAATAGAAATTACTATATATATTATTAATATATATACTCGAAACATCTGTATGGTCAGACAAAAATTCGATTAATTAAAATAATATAAAAATAATTTTTATTATTGTAGTTCATTACTTTTCGAAACCTCTGTATAAAATAATATGTATATATTTATATATATCTTTTATATTTATCGTTTTTCCATAAACAAATTAAGTTAATTTTTTTATTTATGCAATAAATAATGTCTCTTCGAAATATTACTGAGGCCTACAATATTAAAAAATTATATTTGATTGAAATTTTCCTAAGCTGTGGCTTTTAAGTTATCTTCTGAAAAGTTTTAAAAGAAGCCTGATATGTAAACAACGAATATTTTATGCAGCTTTGGTTCGTGTAGTCAGAGTGCTAAGTCTGACAACTATAGTCCAACAATTATATACCGACTTAGAAAATCCACAAATATATCCAAAGACTACTGAGGATGAGTAGATGGCAATACTCAAAACAACCGTATGCTTAGCAAAAAATTTTATAGATTAATAATATAATTTTGTTTTTGTAATTTTGTAATTTTTGTAATGCTATTTAAAATCCAAAATAATATTCTTTATTTTTTAGGTTATTTTGGGTTTAGTTATGCCATTTTATATAAAATGCCTCGACTTTAAAACAAAAGAAGAGCTGCAGCAAATGCCACAAACTGAAGAAGAGCACTTGGAAAATCAAAATTTAGATAATGACGATTCAGATCGCTCACATCCTGATGCAGAGGTATGTTATATATATAAAATATTTTATATTAATATTTTGAAATATTTTCATTTTTTACTAACTTATATGTATACATAAATATATTTATATAAATATAATGTTATAGTTGTATATTTTGTATTTTTATTAAATTTTAATCAAACACCTCTTAAATTTTCTTTAGTAATATCACCTTAAAGTATTACCAAAATGTTTAATATTTCAAATTTATGCTTATTGATGTTTGAAATTAATAAATATTTTAATGTAAATTAATATTATACTATATAAGTATTTTTGTAGAATTTTTATATGTATTTACATATATATATATTATCTTTTAACACCAACAAAAACTATACAAAATACAAACACACAATACTACTCCTAATGACATAAAATAAAAACTAATACTTCTTTAACTCTAATACTATACTCTCGCTACTAATATTATTTCTAGAATGCTCTTACAAAAGCGAAAAGAACTATTTCAATGAAATGTAGGATGACGAGTAACAATAATCCCGAAAAGGTAGTAAATCCAAAATAATATTGTTACCATAAATTCAATTAATAATGCCTGTTATTTATTTATTGTGTGTTTTTATATGTGTAAACTAGTTACATGCCATATAACTTCAATTACTGTACGTAATTTGAAGCTCCGATACATCTGTATTAATATTGTCTGGCTCATACATAATGTATAACATGTGATTTATCTATCTATTTATTCTAATTTGAATCATTATTTTGTTGTGTCAATTAGTGAACAAATGTGCATTTAAAAATCCAACAATTTTTCTTTTCTAATCTTATTCCTATCTAGATTACTCTAACTAACTATGCATTTCCATAATAACGAATAACTATCCTTCAAATTCTACCTCAATTTATTTTTATTACTGACATTTCTGTTTCTAATTTTAGTTTATATATTAGTTATTGAAATTACATTGTGTACGTTTTATTTTTCCTTGTTATATACTACTTTTTATACATATAATAAATTTTTATTTATTTAACATTATTTTCTAATTACATGAATAAAAAATTTGCTCGTTTTGTATTAACAAAATGTACATGTGGCTTATTTGTTGTTGTTTAGCATATCCTTTTGGTTATATTTTTGATATAATTATAATTAGTTTATTCTACAAAATATTTAACCCTTTTTGCTCATGTGTACTGAAAATAAAATTAGTAACAAAAAAAAAGATATATTTCGGTTAGATTTTTGTACGTAGTAAGTTTACTTTTTACCTTTGTTACTATTGAAATAATTTTTTACTCACCGTCATTTCAACGTTATGTATAAATAGGTATTTTCTTCTAATTTATTTAAGAATTACACTATTTTTTTGTCAATTTTTAAACCATTATATTTTCTGCTTAATCAAAAAAAGAATCCATTTCATAGGAAATTTATAAATGTAGGAATGTATAATGAAGAGTTCTATACAAAGTGCTGGCATACTTTTTACGAGGACACGAAAGTGTCTTCTTGAAAAATATATATGGCATTGACACAGAAGATAGAAGAAAGTATGTATTTGTAATAGGTTTTGGTCTACATTAGTATACCAGTTGTATAGTCATAAGATTATGAAACCCTATATTAATTAGTATAAAATACTGCTCAGAACTGCTGTACTGCGTATAGCAAAGCTGCCGACTGTATTATGCAGAAGCTACAAGTTAAGAGACCTTAGAATAGATTCGGTCAAAAAATACTTAAGGGCAGAGCCCTGAAGCTATATAGGAAAACCGATAGGCTGCCCTACTTAGCAGTATCTAATCTCAGAGTAATCACTAACCGCCAGGGGCGGTACGCAGAACTTAGCCCCGTGATTGAATAATCACGAAGCTTATGAGGAATACACAAATTAGTGAGTAAGATGGTTGGGACTCTGCAGATACCCACCAGCTATCAAAAAGTAGAAGTGCCAAGATACACTAACTTGGAAAAGGCTCAACATCACAACACAATGAATGCATTATTAAGAGTAAACCTAAGTCTTAATAGACAAGGCTAAATGCACTCTTTGAATGCCAACACTTTAGTCATAGCCTTGTAAAAGTCTTTAAGCACTCTAAGCAATGTGAAATTGAAAGAAAAGAATAAAAACAAAATACTACTACTACTACATAAGTTTTAATAGATTAGTTCATGAATAAAAAATGTTTCTGTTTTCACGAAGAAGATAGTGCAAAGTATCTATGTGTATAGATACACATAGATACTAAAGTATGCTTCGACTTCGGTTTTTTTTATTATTAAAAGATAAGTTTATTTCTGGTGTTCGGTATTCAATAAAGCACATCCTTTAGAGTTTATTCTTGAGTTCTAATAAATACGAAGATATTTTCAACAATATAAATGTAACCATTTCTGCAGAAGATGTCCGACAATAGTTCCGATTGCATTGGTATAACAGCTTTTACATTACCGAAATATAAACTTATACCTAGTACTTAGATTACGATGGAGTTCATACTACACATACCTAAATCTGATAAATATACGCATGTATTTTCATGAATAAAAAATATGTATATTAACTGATATTAATATGTCAGTTATAAGTTTTTACATGACTAAAAATTAAGCTTATTTCGGGTATTCGAAATTTAATAGAAGACGTCGTTTACAATGTATATTTGAATCCTATACGAAGATTTTTGTCATAAATAAAACATAACTCACTATTGTTCTAATGATATAACCATACTAGTACATCACCGATAAACTGTTTTCACATTACTAAACTATAAACCTATTTATTATACTCAGGATTCGATCGAGTGTGTTAAATAATATTTATTTTCTTAAAGAAAATGTGTTGTAATAATACTATTACTATTATTATTGAATTTTTTTTTTAATTTCATATATTATGCAATAAATGATTTAATAATATATAATATTAATAAAAAAGGATCACCAAATTTCTAAAGAGACAACAAAGTATCTGAAGCATTTATAGATACCATAACTTTCAATTATTGTAGTAGTATATCCATAGATTTCGTTGCAAATCATCCAACTTTTTAACTTCTAATAAATGTTAAAGTAATTAAAGGTAAAGTTAATTCTTCATTCTACAATGTGAATATAATTTTCTAAACAAAAGCTAAACGTTATTTGAGAAACTTGGGGAAAAAAATTAGTATAGGTAAAAGAAATCAAATCATTCAGTATCTCTAATAGTATTTCTTATCTTCAGTCTTTTCTTAAGTCATTGATATTTATTGAACTTGGTTTATTTAGTTATGTTATTCAAAAGGACTAAAGATAGTTGATTGGTTAAAAGGCTTTTATACCATTATGTTATCGCAGTCTTATTAGCAACTGGTTATATGATTTATTGAGTAGACAGCAGTGTTAGATTTGCTCCGTGCTGGTTAAGATACTCTACAGTTCGTTATTATTTCTACTTGCAGATCGGTTTACCTTAGGTAGATGATCTCTACTTCCAAATAGATTACCGCAATTTTCTTTCCCTGTAACATGTCTAGTTACATTTATGATAGTAAATATTTTAAGAAATTCCCATTCTAGCTTCGTGTTCTCCGATAAGCTAATAAACAGAAACAATAGGAATCTCTCTAAAGTGACGGTAGTAATTATTAGCTTCTGATAATTTCATCCGTCACTTCAGAGGTATTCCTTTTATTTGTGTTTGTTAACGATGACGTTTGCTTGAGATTTCCTTAATGGCAATAGTGTTTTACTAGTTCCACATATTGCAAGATTTTCCACAGATTAATCCACAATTAATTTTTTCAAGGTATTTGGCATTAATAGTTCTTTAAGTCCCAGTTCTTCAAAAGTTTCTTGAATGACAAACTGTTTCGTCAGTTCATTGCCTTCTATGCTAACCTATACTAATTTATTAAAGGTATTTTGAATGAATAAAACAACATATAATTATAAATAGAAAAATCACAAAAATTTTTATTTTAAATTTAAAAAGGTTTATAAATATAAAAAACATTACAGTAAAAAAAAATATTTATTTTTCTATTATTTTCACTTTTAAAAAATGATCTATGGTATGTAGAATTGAAATAAAATATAAACAACGTTTTACAAGTTCAGATATGGGAAAATTGTTATTGGGATCAGGCCTGAGGTTTGAATCCATAATAAATATTTTTTCTGTTAATTTTTGAACTAAAACAGATCAAATCTTTGAAGCATTTGCATGTATTGAAGAACACTTCAATAATTATTCGATTTTTAAATCACAAGCAAATCCTTTTTCCACTCCATACTTAAAGACTGGTTAGGTTTAGAATAATAAATATTTTATGTGAAAATATTTTAGTTAATTAAAGACATGAGTAATATTTTTTTTATAAATAGTAAAACAAATAAATATAAAAAGCAAAATATATAATAAAAAACTTAAACATCATTTTGCTTTGAACCTTTAACCTTTCCAATAATAAAGTGTTTATATGTATATTTACTAATTGAGCATTGACTTAGTAAACCAAAAAATGTATTATGAACAGATAATTGCGCTTTATAAATGTGTTTCCTATTTTTTTGTTTATTTTTTGTGAATTTTGTACATATTTGCATTCATAAATATTATGAACTGCAGAAAATAAAAGTATTAAATTTAATTGAAATATGTAAAATATATTTGCATATTTGCATAAATAACCACAGTTCATCCGATGCATAAAATTGCACTATTTTTTACATAAACAATTTATCACCGTAGGGTATAAAAACTTTATCATTTATTAATTATACATTTAATCTAAAACTTTCAGCTGACGTTACAAATGTATGCACATATTAAAATGGAATATTCATTTTTAAAATAATTTTCTATAAAATTTAAAAATATTAATTTTTTTCTTATGTCTTTTTTCATTAACTATTTAAAGTATAAACTAATACATGTTGAAAAATCCTCGCCTTCAAATCATAGTCTAACCCAATCAAATCACGTAAGTGAAAATATCACTAAAGATTTCGCTATTGAGGCTTTTGTTTGAATTATTTTGCTCATAAGTTCAATATATCTCGCTATGTCTTTATAACTTAAATATTGTTAACTTATATAATTAAAAATATAAACAGTTTTTTCCAAATGCTTCGCGATGATATATGCTAATGCAGTTTAGACGCTTGTTTGCCGCAGCTTATATGCCTAAAACACAGCTTCACATCCTTAAATTTTATATAATATTTTCAATATTACTTTTTTTTTAAAAATGTTTTTTGGTGTAATAAACGCAATTTAATTATTTATTATACACCCAAATTTTGTGTTTTTCAAATAAGCTATAAGTAAGCTATTTCAAATAAGCTATATTTGAATATGTTTTTATGAATATATTTATATTTTTTGAAATATATAAATACTATTATAAAATATATATATATATATATATTACCGGACCTATTCTGTGCACTTGACAGATTTGTCAAATTCTTTAATAAAATGTTTGAATTTTATAAAGCAGAAAGCTCTTTGGTATTTTACACACATCTTGACAAATTTCAAAGCTCAAGTACCTAATACTTCTCACCACACTATCGTGTAAAGTGTTTTGTATATAAAACTGTTCGTTACTGTTCGTAATTGTTCGTAACTGTTCCAAAAAAAAAGAGCATATTTTTTAAATTGTCGAAAGCATTTTTTATGCATTCCAATCACAATAAAAAAAATGCTTGTAAGGAGCGTATATTTTAGTTAAGAATATTTGTAATGCATGCAAATAATAAAAAATGCTTAAAAAAAGCATATTTTTATAGTTGTCAACAGCATTTGAGGTATTGACAACTAACAAGGAAAAGAGCTTTTTATTTAAGTCACAGAACACCAAAACCTTTACAACAGTCAATTTTGACAAGTGTCAATGCTTATTAAGTGCACAGAATAGGTCCGTATATATATATATATATTTTTTATATTAAGTTAAATTATTATCCAAGAAATAATTTTGACATATTTTTTATTTTATTTATAAATTCATATAAAAAATATATATAATTTTTCTAATATTTTGAACTAAATAATTTTTCTTATTTTTAAATTAAGAAATATAAAATTTAAATAATATATAAAAGAATTTTCTCTTTAGTATAAAATTTTTTATGATATTTTTCATAAACCTGTGGCAACAAAAATATTAATTGATATTTTTAGTGCTTCAGTAAAGCACTTAAAAGCATTTTATTTAATATTTTTTGTATTTAAGCTGTACTGTTATAGCATAAAAATCGACTTCAATAAACATAAGTTTTGAGAAAATTTGTTAATATGAATTAAAATTGTACAAAAAAGTTCATAAACTCTATTGGCAAGGTTCTTCACTATTTGTAGTGAGATTTCTTTTTTTAGTTATACATATTCGTAATGTTCCAGTACTTTTTAACGAGTTTAATAGTGTTTATTGTACAATTACAAAAACAAGGTTTTCGTCATTCTGGTGTACGGGTTATTGCTGACTGTATACTCATTGAGTTGAGTGTGATTTGTCATAGATGAGGTTGAAACTTTAATATACGTTATGGTTTTATATTACAAGTACCTAAAACCTATAAAATATATTCCATCAGTAAACAAGATATTAGTACATTTTTAAAATGTGATCAACCAAGTTTTATCCTATTTTGATTTAATCTTTTTAGATTTACAGAAAGTCCTTACGCAAATATATATAACTTCGAAAAGTTAAGAGAATAGCTTGCATGTTACTACCTACATATACTATTGTCAAGCAGACTTTGTTTAAACCGTTAATCTCGATATATTAATTACCACTTTATAAAGTTTATTGAAGAGACCTTTTTTTTTGAGTAGAAATGTAATAATGCTAAAGTATTATTATTAAGTAGAGAAAGCATGAGAAATAAAAAAGTGAAAGAAAAGTGTATATTTATATTTTTCATAAAGTAATCGATTGGTCGATTGATAATTGATTGCCTAGATATCTCTTAATATTTTTTTTTATTTTTTCAAACTTACTTATTCTATTTAAAACATTTTATAAAATAGGAAATGAAAAGACAACAAAAATATTTTGTTAATTTATTGAAATTTTTATTGTTGTCTTTTCATTTCTATTTGAACACTTCTAACTTTTAAATAGTTTCTATGTGTCACTTTCGGCAAAAAAAAAAATTAATATTGTTACAAAATAATTTTGAATGCTTTGGTATTTTATATAAATTTTTATGTGTTTTATTAGATTCACTAATATATTTAATATAAAAAATACAACATGGATGGTTAATAAAAAATCATGTGTTTCTTTTATAAATTTTTGAAGGACGGTTTAAAATGAGTTATCTGGGTTAGTCAAAGAAGATACTAGAAAGATATTCCTTTCGATCCAAGTTTGTTTGCATTTAGCAAAATTTTAAATCTCTTATCAGCATTAATCAAGGATCAAAGAAGATACTAGAAAGATCCTAGTGTGTTTGCATTAAACTATGTCACACAGGCAAAAAATACCGATTTTACTAAAATTTTGGTTTTTAATTACTTTAAACTGTTCGACATTCATCAAAACTAGTGGGCACTTTGTAGATTGAGTTATGTCTGAGAAGTTTTGATCAATTTGATTGATTACAAATACTTAATATATTTCTTCTCAAATACAGTTTGTTCTAATTAAACTAATGTTTTTTCCTAAGTATAGTACCCACTTCAAAACTTGAATTAATTTTATTCCAAACTTAATTACGTTAAGAAAACGTTAATTAGGTTTAAAACTTCTTTTTTCTTTTAGAATACTTAATGTCAGAAAGGAGTGTTCTCGTAAATCCATGTTCACATTTTCGAGTGATAACTGTAGTTTCAATGCTTCTTTCTCTCTGTCTCTCTTTCTCAATACCGCGTGTTCAAAATAACTTAATTATTGTTATATATCTTTGTTCAATGATTATTTTTTTTTTCAATCTTCATTTTGTTTCTGGAATACTTTATATTTCATCTGTTTTTGTTAAAATGTAAACATTTTTGTTTCAATTTTTTTTTTATAACTTTTTGGTATCTAGAAATTGTTTTAGCAGCTATCTAGTTTACTACTAGCAAATTCATTATACTCATGATAATTTCTTTTGAAAGTTTCATTTACTTTTGCACTGACTTAGAAATGAGTTGGATTTAAAACATTTATATTAATTTAATATGTACAATTTTGTTTATTATTTTATTTATACATAATTATACAAAATATTCCGCGTTAACTATTTCAGGCACTTTTGGCAGATACCTATTCCCTACGCGAAACTAAAGTACAAGAAAATGGAAAAGTGAGTAAAATTCTTGAGAAAGTTTATTATAAAATTTTTATATTAAAAGATACAAAGTGAAATTAAAAGTGTCTCAAAAATATACACAAACTTCTATCTTTTCAATTTTATATAAAAGTCATCACATTTTATTTGTTAATTTCACATTATTTCTTATTGTACAAAAAACACATAAGTATTTTGTTTTCTACAAAATAAAATTTTATTTGGCACTAAATTCACAGTAATTCGGTTACTTTTAATTAAAAATGGGTTTTAGAATTTTTTTCACAATTTTTTTTATATAAACAACTAATAAACTACAACACATACTCAAAAAGAAATGTTCGTTTTTATTTAAAAACAATTTACACAAATAAAAACATTTATACTAAATTATTGCTAATTGCTTCCGATTTACCTTTTTTTACTACTTAAAATAGTTAATAACGTAGCATCTTAGATGAGCAGTAAATATCTAAAAAAATTAATTGAATTTACAGGTTGATCTCACTGCTGGAGCGGAAGAACCCCCCTCCAAAGTTAGTTAATTGACATAAAGCAATTTCCGCAGTTTTGTTTTAATTTTCAAATCACAATTTTTAATTTTTTTTATATTAGATAAAATAAATATAAGTTTAAAATTAAGCAAATAATATTTTTATTTTTTGTAAAAAATAAAATTTTTATTTTTATTATTTGTCACAATTTTAGAATTTTGTTTTGTACTGTACTGTTTGCAAGGCTTAGTAACCCACACAAAACTTAGAGTCAAAAAACCTATATACTCATTAAATTAGATTGGAAGTATGGGCTGACCTATTTTCTCATATAAATACATTTGCGTCTTTATTCTTATAGTATTTTATAGTAAATTGGTTTTGGTTTTAAACATTTTTTTATTATTGTTTTTTTGGGTTATGGTATTTTAATACAAAACTTAAATTCACTAAATAATTTTATAATAATATATAAAATAATTCTAAAATAAAATATTTTTTATTTATATTAAATTCAATACGTATTTAAATTAATTTTATTTTAGGTGATTTAATTTAAATTAATGAAGTTTTGTTGTAGATATATATTTAATATATTTTATTATTTATATTAATTTTAACAAGTATATAATTAATTTAATTTAATGAATTTTTGTTGTAGATAATTTAAATATATCTTCCTTTCTATATTATTATCAAAAAAAAAAAAAAACAATTTGTCTATGCTATAACGGTGTTCACACTGTGTGATTAAAAACTAGTCTTTATAAATCTATTGTGTATCCTTTATCTATACGTTTTAGACAACAGATTAGAAATTATTATTAACTATACTTAAGGAAATACTGTGAACTTTTGTTGTAGTTATGTGCTCTTGTACCAAATTGATACTGCATACAAACTTTTTTATCTCGAACACAAACCAATTTATTCTGTATATAAACCAATGAAGCAGTTTTAATTATATTAGCCGTAATTTTTCTTTCAAATTAGCAAAAATATACTCGCAACTTACGAAAGAAAACATATGAAGCAATAACAATGCTCTTAAAGTCTTCAGAGTTGGGCTTTACTAGCATAATATTTTGCGTTTTAAGATTCAGTGCAGCCAAATTAAAAAATTAAAATTAAATTCAAATTAAAAAATTGTAAATGTTGACTGGAAACTTAGTACAAAATTGTAGTCATCTTTAAAAATTATATGAGCATTTTATTTACTAATCCATTCAAATACATAATAAATAAATTAATTTAAATATAGAATATAAAAATGCTTACCATTGCCCTTCTAATATTCATTTTGTTTTCTTTTATACAAATAAATTAATTTTTAGTGTTTACAATTTTTATATTTCATATTAGCAAGCATTTAACATATCGTAAAAGTGATGCCAATTTGTTTCAACCAGACTTAATGTTGTTTTTTTTACAACTCTGAAAGAAAAATTACGGCTATTAATACATAGTTTTTAGATTGCCTAAGAGTATAATAATCATTTGTACTAAATTTTACATTAATCCTAACCAAATAAAGATTTTATTTTTGTTTGGTTAATATACAATTTAAGCAATAGATTGAAGCTTTAATCGTAATGATCGCTTTAATCCCAGTGATCGCTTTAATCTATTGTTAATCTCACAGTAATAACGTAGCATATCTGATTTAGGAAATCACTAATAAGAAAATATTACTATTTGAACAACATTTTCTATTAAAAAAAACCTAGAAGCACTTAAAATTAATATAGGATAAAATTAAATATAAAAATATATACATAGGAGAGCTAGTTTTTTAAAAAAAAGCTAATACTAAAATTCTTTAAAATTCAAACACAATCTTAAGTATATTCATGTATAGAAAGCTTATTAACACAAACCTTAGTCACTATTCACACTATAGAATATATGTACATACGATTTTTAGCACTAATGATTAATCCACTTTAATTTAATATTTCGGGGCAACGCAATGATTTCGCTGCTTTGGTCAAGCTGTAGTCGCATGTAATTTTAGCCTTGTAGTTAAAGGTTAAAATTTAAAGATAGATGGATCCATTTAAGTGATGTTTGCAAAAATTCACATTTTCAGTTCATAAGTTAAGATTGCATTTCAGTTGAAAGATTAATCAAAATCATTTTTTCACTGATTTCATAAATAGATATTTATAATTAATTTTTTAATATTCAATGGATTGAAAAATGATGAATAAGAAATCGTATCTAAGTACTTTTAATGTAAGAAATTTTGCTTTTTAATTTTAATTGTAAAAATATTTACAATTAATTTATCTGATGATTATTATCAGGTGCATTTATCAGAGGTATTTAGAACTTATACGGCGATATATCTCAATTAACATGAAACATGAATATTTATATCTATCACATTTTAATGTCACTTTATATACATCAAAGAATAATCTTTGATATATGTTTGTTTCAGCAAAAAAATAGTAATTTATCGGGTCTATTAGAATTTTTTTCAAATTCTTAATGAAAATATTAGGTGCTAATACAAATTAGCAAAATAGGCACGTGCTTTAGTTGAAATTCAAAAGTACCATGATGCGGTTTTTTTTGTTTATCCAAGATAATTGCTTAAAATTCACGATATAAACATGGCATTTAAATTCAGTTTATCAGCAATCATACCCTAAGTCAATTTTGGACTGAACCAAATCGAAACTTACATCATTAGTCGAAGATTTTAGAGAGAACTGGCTTTCACAAAACATCAAGTTTGAAATTATTAAAACCACTTTCAAAACGGTGATATTTAGTATTCATTAAGTATATGCACAGACTCAAGCTTATGCCTAAATCCGTAAAGAATGGTAAATGGAAACTGTTGCTGCAATGACGGCGGAATATGTATCTAACCTTTTTCATTAAATTTATATTTTCTTGCTTTCATTTTAAAAAGTTACTCTGAAACTTTAATTTAATTGGCAATTTTGTGAATTGTCAGAAACTCGTGTTGCCAGCTATATGGACTTTAGTTAGTCTGTTCGTAATTCTTCGTAAGTCTTCTATTTCACAACTACTTCAATTAGAATTAAATTATAGTTCTTATACAGTTCTTATGTACAGTGGCTCACAGCTTATTTCGTGCAAGCAATATTTTTGTAGATTTAGTCGTGAAAATCCAAAATTTTGTTCAAAATAAAAAATTTTAAATATGCAACTTTAAAGAATGTTTAGTTTTTATTATAAAACAAAAAAAAATTTAGCAAAAATATCAATATTCAAGAAGTTAAGTGAACAAAAACAAACATACACCAAATTCTGACCTCACAGCTTATTTCGTGCAATACATTTTTTTTAGAAAATTAATAATTTTTGGCATAAAAAAGTGAATTTTAGTATTTAGTGGGATAGTCCTTTTGTTTAATTACTGCCTCTAACCTTGAACGCATTGAAATAACTAATTTTTGAGTATATTCCACTGACATTTTTTGCCATTCCAATTTCAAAGCAGCTTTCATACTTTCCTTGCTATAAATGTTATGTTTTCTTATGTTAGTTTCCAGAATATGCCATAAATTTGCTATGACACTAAAGTCAGGTGATTGGGGAGGTGTTTGGATGATGTGTGGACAATTCCCAACAAGCCAAGACTGCACAAGACCCGACTTGTGCTTCAGATCGTTATCCTGGTAAAAACAGAAATTGTTAATTATGTCTAAATATTCGGCACTTTTATGCAAATTTTGCTTTAATATATTAAGACACACTTCTTTATCCATTGTTGATTCTATAAATTATAGATTACCTACTCCTGCCGCTGATTTACACCCCCATACTATCACATGCCTGCCGACGGTTTCGCATGCAGTTTACCAAACACCACCTGTACAAGAATAGTTCTTTCTGAAACGCAGTATTTTTTGTCAATTAGAGTAAATTTAATCTCTACGCTTCAGATGGTAAATCATATGTGAAATACTATTAAAAATACGCCAAATATATCACATATTAAGCTCCAAAAAGAACATTTATATGGCACAGTTAAACACAGTGGAAAGCATGTGATAGTATTGGGGTGTAAATCAGCGGCAGGAGTAGGTAATCTACAATTTATAGAATCAACAATGGATAAAGAAGTGTATCTTAATATATTAAAGCAAAATTTGCATAAAAGTGCCGAATATTTAGGCATAATTAACAATTTCTGTTTTTACCAGGATAACGATCTGAAGCACAAGTCGGGTCTTGTGCAGACTTGGCTTGTTGGGAATTATCCACACATCATCCAAACACCTCCACAATCACCTGACTTTAGTGTCATAGCAAATTTATGGCATATTCTGGAAACTAACATAAGAAAACATAACATTTATAGCAAGGAAAGTATGAAAGCTGCTTTAATATTGGAATGGCAAAAAATGTCAGTGGAATATACTCAAAAATTAGTTATTTCAATGCGTTCAAGGTTGGAGGCAGTAATTAAACAAAAGGGCTATCCCACTAAATACTAAAATTCACTTTTTTATGCCAAAAATTATTAATTTTCTAAAAAAAAATGTATTGCACGAAATAAGCTGTGAGGTCAGAATTTGGTGTATGTTTGTTTTTGTTCACTTAACTTCTTGAATATTGATATTTTTGCTAAATTTTTTTTTTGTTTTATAATAAAAACTAAACATTCTTTAAAGTTGCATATTTAAAACTTTTTATTTTGAACAAAATTTTGGATTTTCACGACTAAATCTACAAAAATATTGCTTGCACGAAATAAGCTGTGAGCCACTGTATATATCATATGTAACTATTCTATAAATAAAATTGATGAAAACTAATTTCTATTGAACTAATATAAAAGAAGAATTAATATACGTTCATTATTAAAAACTCATTTAAACTTGTAACTAATTTATTAAAAAAATATGATGAAAAAAGGAAGTCATAGAAGTCTATATAGTATGTAATCTCATATTAAAATTTCGCATTATTAACGTTTATTTTTCTTTTTATAGTAGTCAGCAATGTTTATTATATTCTTAAAAAACACTTTAATGCTGTATTCTAGCACTTATAATATTACTGTATTTTTATTATTTTCTAGTTTTTATTTCATGATTATGCGGATAACATAAATTCATTAAAAATGAATAATTAAAATAGTTCTAACACAATTTCACAGGTTTTTTTGTATTGAAACACGCTTTTGCAGTAATGAAACTTTTTTGCTTTTACAAATTGCATTAAGTAACACACATCTATCTGTACATCTGTACATAAAAAAACTAAAAAAATTTATAATAAAGTTCTATGCTGAATGATGCACTTTAGCTTGAAGCATTTAATATTTTCAATCTCAGGAATTCAGTTATCCTTCTATATTTTTACATATTTATTATATATATATTTTTTTTAATTGCTAATATGCATGTTGTAATCATGCATTTTGCTGAATTAAATTGTAGTTAATTTTTTCTATACAATTTTAAAAATTAATTGCAAATATTTAATTTAATATCATTTGAGTTCATGTTTTTATACTTAAAAAAAATTATCAACAGGTTTCACTTACCGACTCTGATCCTTCGCAATTCCGTGAATTTTTCAACATTGCGGAGTATGAAATAAAACAGCAGCAACCACTGCGTCTAAAAAAGAAATTCTATGAATTTTATACAGCACCCATCACAAAGTTTTGGGCTGATTCGGTAAGTCAAATAGTTTTTATACAAGTGTATTTTCAGTCAAGTAAACTCATGCTCCTTCAGAGCAAAGTGGCTGTTAAATAAACGAACTAAAAGTGCTTTTTTAATTTCCGTTCCTTGTAGAAGCGATTTTCAAAATTAATAGATTTTTTGTTTTTTATTTTTCTTTTATTTTATCTCAAATTAACACCCACTGTGTGTGCTTCTGGCTCATTTTAGATTGCTTATATGTTTTTTCTGATAATGTTTACATTTACCGTCCTGGTTAAAATGGGTCCATTCCCACGCTGGCAGGAATTTTATTCGATTGCTTATATCACAGCGTTGGGATTTGAGAAAATTAGGGAAATCATTTCATCAGAACCTGTCGCAATTACGTAAGTAACAGAAAATTTATCTATTTAAGGCATTTTCCAATTTAATTTCTGTGTGCAGAACGTTGATTTTTTTTAATTCGAAACTTCATTTATTTGGTTTAATATATTTCAAGACTACTTAAAAAAGTTACGGTTTAAATTAAAGTGTATGTGTATAAAAAAAAATTTTAAAAAATTAAATCTAAATCGAAATACCTTTGATAGAGTATGGCCCTATGGTTAAATATGTAATAGCCGTAGTTTTTTCTTACAGAGTAGCAAAAAAATACTCACAAGTTACGAAAGAAAACATGTGAAGCAACAACAATGCTCTTAAAATGTTCAGAGTTAAGCTTGCTGTCAAATTTAAAGCGTCTTAAGCTTTAGTACAGCCAAATTAAAAAATTGAATTTAAATTAAATTAAAATTAAAAAATTGTGAATGTTCACTGGAAATATGTTACAAAATTTCACTCATCCGTTAAAATCATAAGAGCATTTCATTTACTAATAAACTCAAATACACAAATAAATTAATTTAAATACATGAAATAATTATTTTTTCTTTTATTTAAATTAATTAATTTTTATTGTTTACAATTTTTATATTGTATATAAAACTAAAAAACAAAAAACATATGTCAAACATAAACATTTAACATATTTTAAAAGTGATGCCAATTTGTTTCAACCAGACTTAATGCTGTTTTTTTACAACTCTGAAAGAAAAAAATACGGGTAATATCACAAACATCATGCCATCAAACACACATCAGTTTAAATTGTAGTGTATGTTAACAAAAAAACAAAAAAATATTTAAAAATATGACTTAAGTTCTAATAATATACCTTTACATTAAGTGATATAGCACAGACCTTTGATGACCGGATGGTTAAATAGATGATAAAACAACTGTCAGACTATCAAATACTGGTTTTTATTAGTTTGATAATTTGTTTGATGATAAGGAATTCTAATAGATCCACTATTATATCTGCGATATACAAATAATTGGCTAAAGTCAGAGCACAGCATTTGCTGACAATACTATGCACATCATGAGCTTCCAGTAGAATCTTAACGGATATTGTGAATTCTAATATTGTACACTTTTCAATATCTTAAATAAATTTCTCAAAAATAAAATTTGAAGTAAAAAATATTTTGCACTATTGGTGATCGGTTCATCAGCTATCAGGTCACCAGAAAAACTAAATCACTTTGAATAATATAATTTAGTGTACGAAGGATTTGTAATGTTGGTCATGGACTATTATTGACCACTTTTTAATTTTTTAAAATATCGTAGATATAATATATATATTTGACCAATATTACTGGTTTACTGGTTTCATGTTGAATGTCTAATAAATTAATCTTGAATTTATGAAGTGAATTTATGAATTCACATTGTTGTAATTTCTGAATTAAGAAATTTCTATTAAACCATATCAAATATAATTCTCCAGATTATTATAAGAATTCGAACACAATTATGAGTTGTTAACGAAAGTATATTTTCCATCTTGTCAAAGGCATTATCCTTTGGTTCAGTAACTTTTACGCATAAATGGAACTGCAGTATTTGTTATAAATTCTGCACTGTCGGATTAAAATGAATAAACGAAGTACATATTTCATTAAATTTGCAAAACTAAAATAAAATTTTTCCGGATTTATTTTTGTGTCCCATTTTTCGATTTTACATACGATACAGATATATACATACATACGTTAAAATATACTATTATATGTTTTTCTCTGCAGGCATAAATTTTCCGTGTGGGCTTGGAATATGTGGAATCCGTGTGATGGTGCAGCTATTATATTATTTCTGATTGGACTTTCATTTCGTTTCCGTCCCAATACGATGGATGTCGGACGTGTTATTTACTGTGTCGACAGTATTTATTGGTACCTGCGGTTGTTAAATATATTGGGTGTAA